TTGAAGAGAAAAATCAACGTGTTCCATATGGGGTGTCTTAGCCATCTCAGGTATTACTGATGTTCCCACATTGCATTTCAGATGCTAACTCGCGTTGGTGTTAACCATTACTTAATACTACGTAGTTAACATAGAGCAGCTTTTGTTTCATTTGTTGTTTGTTTTAGTTTTTTAGGTCTTGTTTATTTTGTTCTATTTATTTTATCTTTTATTATGTATTTTGAAACACTTAATGCTAATATAAAGTTATATACTGTAAGCGTTTGCCTGTACACATGATAGATGAACACTTATATCATACACTATCTAGACCACAGCTAATCCAGGAATTGGGAAAATGTCTGATTAAAAACTGTTGGTGTTATAGATGTGAGAAACTATTGGCTAAAATCCTAAAACCCATATATCTATATAACTTTATAACTTTATCTCAATGAGCTTCTTCCATCAATTACTAAACAATGAGAAAATGATAAATAAGAAATACAACATTCAAGCCTTATTACCAAAAGAGTTTGGGGCAGGACAAAATGAATCGACATAATATCGGAGTTAAAACATGACAAAAAATTGGAAGAATTATGTTTTTACTGTAAAGTATTGAGAGAGATATTAGAAAAGAAAGAGATAGTTTTGCGTTTGACTAACATCTATGTGCAGATACTCATCACACTTGGAAACTTGAGTTTTTGTGTCGAGTGACATTTCAAGTTTTTATTTTCAGCAACCGGGTATTGGTGGTGAAGTTGTACCACACCAGGACAACTCATTTCTTCATACTGAACCACGAAGTTGTACAGGCTTGTGGCTGGCTTTAGAGGATGCAACAATTACAAACGGTTGTCTCTGGGCCATTCCAGGGTCTCATAAAAGTATCAAATATAAGTCTTTTCTTTAGTATACTCGTGCTTTTATGAAGTTAATGAATGCATGAAGTCACTATAAAATTTGTTTTTTTTTTTTAATTTTTTTCTTCTCCAGATGGCCTTGTGAGGAGATTTATTAGAGATGAGGACGGGGTTCACTTTGATAAGCCGTCCCCATCATATGACCAAAAAGATTTCGTTCCTATCGAAGTCAAAGCTGGCACTTTGGTTGTCATTCATGGTGATCTTATCCACCAGAGGTCAGAATTTCATAAAAAAGATTATCAGTTGCTCACTGTCCATTATGGATGTATGAGTGCATAGTTGCATACCATTCGACCTCCATTTCTTTTTTCTTTTTATTTCACAGCTTCGAGAATAAGTCTGGAAAATCAAGGCATGCTTACAGTGTGCACATAGTCGACACAGATGGATGCAAATGGTCAGAAGACAACTGGTATGTTCGTTAGTTCCCTCATCATTGTTTTTGTTATTGTTGAAGCAACCTTCCACACTTAGTAAACAATAGTGGGTTTTGTTTTTTTGTTAACGGGTGAGCAATACTTTCAGTAGAGGCATCCGCTTGTTTTTTCCCTAATTGAAAATGGCCTCACACACCAAGTATGTTCAGGATTTTATGCACTACAGGTGTCAGTGTAGTTAGGTGTTTAACACACTCTAAAGTAGTGTTGATATAAATAGTAATGCAATTGGATGGAAGTGAATTCCTCCAACTACAATGGAATAATTTAGAATTCATTCAACATACAATATTCTGCCCATTTAGTAATAATTTGATAAGCGTTTAATAATAAGGGATAAGGGTCAGATAGGGCCTCGAACTCGGAAAAAAATGTCAAATAAGGTCATATTTCGGATGCTCTGTCTGGCCGACGCCATTTGGGGCGGTTCCCGATGGAATTTTTTGATGAAATTTTTTGAGCATCTTTCTCATTAAGTCTAGTTTACCCATACCAAATTTCAGCTAAAAACTCAACCGGGAAGGTAGTCAAATGAATTTTTGAAGATAACTGTGAAGTTAAACAACGCCGTACATTTCGGAAAATTATTTGACTACCTTCCCGGTTGAATTTTTAGCTGAAATTTGGTATGGGTAAACTAGACTTAATGAGGAAGATGCTCAAAAAATTTCATCAAAAAATTCCATCGGGAACCGCCCCAAATGGCGTCGGCCAGACAGAGAATCCGAAATATGACCTTATTTGACATTTTTTTTCGAGTTCGAGGCCCTATCTGACCCTTATCCCTAATAATAATTATAATAAGTGCCGATTGTAGTAATTAATGCCAATTCATTTATTCATACATTAAAGCATCATTTAAGAAAAACCCATGCACTTCATATCATTTTGTACTTTAGTTTTCATAACCCAAACTCTTTAAAACAAACTTCTCTGTGTATATTTTTATTGGTATTTATCACTACAATCATCAATTGTATACTTGCAAATGATGCACGGTTGAGTCCAACTGTAGAAGATCATTTCGAGCCGTGGCTAATAACGTAGCTTCTAACATTCGTATTAATTGAAGTACAATACTTGAGGTAAAAAATGAAATTACATAAGAAATACTATCGTAGTATATAAGCACCAAGCCACCAATGCTTAAGAATGATGATCATTTCCTTCACAAAAACACTGAACTAGCAAAAACAAATATAAAAAGGTGTTTTCCTTAAATATGACTAAATTGAAGGTCATTTCTTAGAAAGTGACTACATTTACGTAAAAACAAAAATTGTGGCTAACAAGATAATAAATTTGGAAAAACATGATTTTATGGGGTTTCCCTTAAATATGACAAAATCAAAGCTCATTTCTTAAAAGCTGCAATATTTTTATGTCACTTTCACTGTCACATATGTCATTGCCACCGTGAAACATTCCACTGGGACCAATGGAAAATTTTCCCACGACTTTTTTCCACCGAATTTTGAAAAAAATTGAAAAACAAAGAAAAAATTCATCAAACTTTTCCAGTGACTTTTCTGGCAGCAGTTTCCAGTGGCGATTTCCGGATGTGGGGTGGGGGAGGGGCTGGGCAGAGATCGGACAAAATTACAATGCGAATTAATTTGGATTAGTTAAACAAAAGGTTACTCATATTTTTGGAAAAAAGGAAAACTTGTCCCTTTTTGTATTTTAAAAAGCTAAATGTAATATTTATATCCCTTTTCCATATAAAAACTATGAATTAATTAATGGATTGAATTTCATACAGTTTTGTTTTTGGAACTTAGCAATTAGCATTCAACATTTGCTTTTGTCACATAGGGCGTCTTATCTAGTTTCGTTGTACAAATACTTTGCCAATAGGAAGTAAGATAACATTATTTGGGTAATGTAGAGGAAAATGTAAAAATTGAAGTGTTGAAGCCATAAAGGACATGATCATATCCAGTAATAGTATTATTAGATAAATAACGGAAAATTCTCATGCACTGTTATGAACGTTAGACTGGCCTGTAAGTCTGTAACATATGTGATAGCGCAAAGTGTGATGTGCAAACTGTAAATGAGTTATTTTATTATTATTGTTTACTTCAGCGTGATTGCTAAGAATGTGTACTTTCTTATGTACAATGGTTCAGGATTAGGAGGAAGACGATTCCAGAACCCATATACAGCTCTTGACATTCATTTGTCTTCAGCTGTGCTGTTTTAGAAGCTGCTGCTGCTGCTGTTTATGTATATACAAACATGAAACATGTCAAACCTGAATACTTGCAGTGACAGAATTACACTTTTTAGTGTTAAATCTCACATGGAGAACATTCATATTCTTACCGTACAACATTAAATAAACTTTTTAGAGGAACATGTAATTAAGTGAAATCATGTCTACATAATGATCTATCATGTTGGACAAAGACTTCCCAAAGAGCTTAGAGTTTTCAAACATAGTAGTTGGGTCAACTTTTTCACTCTCTAAAATTTTGTAGTTACAAAAGTAAAAGAGAAAAGGTGCAAATAGGCCCATGTACTAACCAAAAAAGGTCAAATAAGCCCTTATTTAGGAGACTCTGTCTGGCCGTCGTCATTTGGGGTGGTTCCCGGTGAAATTTTTTGATGAAATTTTTTGAGCATCTTATTCATCAAGTCTAGTTTAGTTATACCAAATTTCAGCTAAAACTTCAATCCGGAAGGCATTCAAATGAATTCTTGAAGATAACCGCGCTTCTAACTGCGCAGTTATTTTCAAAAGTTCATTTGAATGCCTTCCCGATTGAAGTTTTAGCTGAAATTTGGTATGAGTAAACTAGACTTATTGAATAAGATGCTAAAAAAAAATCATCAAAAAATTCCAACGGGAACCACCCCAAATGGCGACGTCCGGACAGAGCCTCCTAAATAAGGGCTTATTTGACCTTTTTTTATTAGTACATGGGCCTATTTGCACCTTTTCCCAAAGTAAAACTATAGTTTTTTGTTGTTGAATTGGCTTATTTTGCTGAAAGGGTTACTTTATTTTTTTCATACATATTTTTCTTTATTAGTTCATAAATAAATGAGCTGAATTCAAATAAGAACAACAATGACATCATTTTTTCAAGGGGTTTGGCATCAATGTTACTATATAGAACTAATAGAAGTCTTGGACAAAATTGGATTAGTTTTAAAATTGCTAAAACACATTTCCACAAATAATATTTAGATGACATTTTAAACTAACATCTATAAATAATTCAAAGATACTCTTTAACTTACGAGTATTAAATAAAATAAAAACACTTTTCTTAACTATTTTGTATTCGGTAAATATCTTGTGGTTTGATGACATCATTGTGACACTTCTGGGAAAGAGGTCACATGTTCAAATCACATACTCCCTCCGTCCCATTTATATTGTCCCGGAAGAGGGTGACACGGTTATTAAGAAAAGTGGGTTTGTGTGGTTGATATTAATTGATAAAGTAAGAATAAAGTAAGAATAAAGTAAGAATGATTTAGAGTCACACAAACTTTGCCAATATGGTATGGGACAATATAAGTGGGACTTCCCGAAAAGGTAAAACGAGACAAAATAAATGGGACGGAGGGAGTATATGACTACCTGTTTGAGGATGTTGGTCTTAACATAGAACAAACATTATAACAAGTAAGAAGCTTTGTCAAATCTCATATCAGTTTAAGGATGTTAGAAGCTTTGCCAAAAAAGACTATTCAGTATTCACATTTTGAGTGGAAAAACACATTTTGTACACGTAGTAACTAAGAAGCCGGAGACATACACGGCATTACTTCATGTTTAGCCTTTACGTCTAGACATGGAAATTGCAACCTTAGCTAAAACACGAATCACACTGGATAGTTTTACATGCCAATAAGATAAGACCAGAATTATTTAATACACCCGAATGAGATCTCGTTATATGCAATTACATGTCTAACCTAATTAGGCAAGTTTAAGCCTTGCCATCTTCTTCCGTTGCCTTAGCCTCAAAATTCTCATCTTTGAGAGGACCATAAGCCTTGCTGAAAGCTAGGTAACACAGGAAATTGGTGATGCTTAATCCAGCAAGCACCCAATGTAAATAATCATAGTGACCTTTGTTAATGTTACTAGAAATCCAGCTCTCTTTCCCTCCTCTTTTAGTCAAGTTATCGATGGTGGTCATAAGAAAGCTTGACAAAAGGCTGGCAATGGCTGAGCTTAGCATGCAAAGACTAGAAGCTATGCTCGACATGCTCTTAGGGAACTCCGAAATATAAAATTCATTTTGCGAGATTCCGTTCAATCCCTCCGCGAATCCCATAAGGGCATATTGGGGCAGCACCCACAGTATGGACATGTGGATCACCCCATCAGGGTTATTTTCATATCCCTCATTGATCGCCACTGCTCGTCTCATACTCTCCACAGTTGCCATTGCAGCCATTGACAGGAACGAAATGAAGATCCCGCACCCCATTCTCGATTTCGTGCTAAAATGCACGGTTTTACCCCTGATTCTGGATGCCAAGGGTAGTAAGATGCGGTCGTATAGTATGATCCAAGCAACAATGAACACTGCAGCGAATGAGGATACTGAACCTGCTGGTAGTTGAAACTTTGAACCGATATGGCGGTCCAGAGAGGTTGCTTGAAGGACCGCAAAAGAACCCTGACAAATATTTAGGGACATTACAATCCTTGTGATCCATATTGGGATTACCTTTATTAAGGATTTTAGCTCCTCCACTTGATCAACGGTGCAAAGCTTCCAAGGATTCACAGCTGTTCCATCTGCATTTAGGTCTCGTTCAGGATCTTGTATAATGCAGGCCTTATTCAGAAACCTACAACAAGAAAAAGGAAAGAAACTTAAATCAAAGCAAGATGTATGGTCAATTGCTATTTTGCGCTCAGTTTGTTTACAAAGAAATGCTACATGGATATCGCCTCCAAAAAGTTTTTTTTTTTTAAATCTCATACATTTGATTTGTAATCAGTTTTATTAATCCCTCTAACTTTCATGTGTTTGGCACCTAAAACACCACCATCAAAATACTTTCCTTGATTGTTAGAGTTTTTTGGGTTAAAACATTACTTTTTAAAGAAATAACGGAAAATAAGAGCGAAACAAGCCTCGAATCATATGAACAAATAGAAATATCCTTGTTTAGTTCAGAAGTTGGGACTTATTTAGTCCTAACTCCTAATAATGAATAAAAGCCATTAATAACTCTTCTTTAATGAGTGTCTGAGTCAATAGGGAAAAACAAACGTTTCTTTTTTGAAGAATGTGTAATGTTTTAGATCTATCGATGAATATTCTTTAGATATAGAGAACAACTTATTTTACACGCAAAAACTTCTCTAGAAAACGTCATCTCTAACAAGCTATTTTGTGAAAACAATCCAATTCTTAGTTCATACCCCAAGTAATTTACATGATATAGTTCTAGCCCCCGATTGTTAATGGGAAGGACTAATATTAAGATCCGGGCCTCAGGGTTTCATTCTAAAAATCAACTAGATAGGAGTACTAACTCAAAATCTTATACATTGCGTGAATGATTAGCTATGATATTAAGACTCATAGATTCCATCTTAGATCAACTTGATCGAAGAGATAGCATGAAATCTTAATGATTTATTGTATTATACGAATTCTGTATCAAACAAATACTTAAACAGCTAAACCACCCGCATGTGATAGATTTAGGAATGTTTTTTTTTCCAAATCTAGTAACTAGTAATTAAGAAGCTTTTTTTACCTCAAGCGGCATCAGTTGTTTAAGAACTAACCTTAGCTTGTCACTTGGATGACTGAGAGCTGAACCTTTTGAATGATATTGAAGTTCTGTATCTCCCGAAAAAAGTTTGATATGTCTATTCCTATAAGAGGCAACCATCACGTTAAACAAACCGTTGACCAGGTTCTTGGTTGGGTTCGGTCTCAAATACCAAACCGAACCGGAGAAGAATGTGAGCACCGCAAAGAGCGCGAGTGCAACAAGAACACCATAGCCTAGTCTCCACCCATAGTTTTCTTGGAGGTAAACCAAACCGACCGAACCAACTATTGCAGAAAACGAACCGGTGGCGTAAGACCAGCTGAAATAACTCTCTATTTTACTTGCATTGTTCTGAAAATGCTTCAACTGATCAGCACCAAATGCTAAAGAGGATGATGTCACCCCACCGCATCCGACCGCGGTCATGATAAGAGCTGTGCATAGCAGAATGAGCTGTGGTGTGGTGGCAGGGGTACAACTGTCACTTGATTCACTACAAGGACGAGGCTTGGCTTGCATGATCGCTGTTGGTAGCCAGATGAGTAGTGTTCCCTTCACAAAAATCAAGTTTATGTTCATTCTAAAATATGCTGAATTATGAAAAATCGTATCAAATACTCCCTCCGTCCCCTTTTAAATGTCTCGGAAGAGGGTGACACGAGTTTTAAGAAAAGTGAGTTTGTGTGGTTGATATTAATTGATAAAGTAAGAATAAAGTAAAAATGATTTTGACATACACAAACTTTACCAAATAAGGTATGAGACAATTAAATAGGGACATCCCAATATGGTAAAATGAGACATTTAAAAGGGGACGGAGGGAGTATATATTTTATCAGTATATAGAAAAAAATGAGAAAGACTCCAAGTCTACAACAGTCGTTTTGCATCAACTTAAACCAAGATAGCAAATGAAGTTTTATTTATCTCATTATTAACCTCTGGAGACAAGAAATTATAGTTTGTTAAAAGAAATCGAATCAAACGGCCACCATGTAAAATTTCATTCCTAGCAGATAGCAGATTATGTCATTTCATTGGTAACAATGGATTTTGTTTACTGTTTTGACTAGTAGACATGAGTAACATTATGAAGCAAGGTGTTTAGTTAATTAGTTGTTCAGGGTTAGTTGATAAATGAAAAAGAAGAAAAAGGATATGAATACACAAGTAGAGGAAACTTCATGTCAGGCCGGCCTGACGGGCTGCCCTGTCCGGCCGAGCCCGTTTGGGCACCTTCCCGGTGGAATTTTTTGATGAAATTTTTTGAGCATGTTCCTCATCAAGTCTAGTTTGTCCATACCAAATTTCAGCTCAAAATTCGATCGGGAAGGTCGTCAAATGATTTTTGCAAGTTAACTGGTCCGGAATATGTATTTTCCGGACCAGTTAGCGTGCAAAAATCATTTGACGACCTTCCCGATCGAATTTTGAGCTGAAATTTGGTATGGACAAACTAGACTTGATGAGGAACATGCTCAAAAAATTTCATCAAAAAATTCCACCGGGAAGGTGCCCAAACGGGCTCGTCCGGACGGGGCAGCCCGTCAGGCCGGCCTGATGAGAACAGCCCTCTACACAAGTATATATGTTTAAATGATTTTTCTATTTTTTATCATTAAAACTTTAAACCGTTTTTCAAATTTACATACTACGTACCCCGTATATTATTATTACTCTTATTTTCACCACTATGAATTTCATTATATATATGGCTTAAATAGGTTATAGTCCCTGCAAATATGACACACTTTATTTTAGGTCCCCGCAAAATATTTTTTGTTTTGTTATTCATCTCAGTAATATGTCATGTGTTAGCACAAATTTAGCGACATTTTTGAAAAATCAGGAAATAGTCTTTATTTATACATAACATACTTAATACTTTTTAGTTATATTTATGTCAAAACCAATTATTATTTGTCACTTTAAATCTCACAGAAGAGAAGTAGTACAATTAATAATTGAAGTATTAAAGGCATGAAAGAGGAGGAAAAGTAGAAAAGGAAAATAAAGAAAAGGTAGGAAATAAATTAAAGGAAGAAAAGTTAGGAGAGAAAGAAAAAGAATATGGTAAAAGTTTCAAAATATGAAAAGTGGATGAAGAGGAAGTGGTCCAGTCCAGCTGGTCGACGACTCACTCTCCCTTGTGGGAAGTCCCGAGTTCAATTCTCAATGGAGTGAGATTGATCCCAACTTATCACTGCACAGACCCCCCAATCCCCCCTCTCCCTGAGGTAAAAAAAGTATGAAAAGTGGATGAATTATAAAAAAAACAACCACAAAATGAATAAATGACACTTAAAGATGTTCTAATTGATTTGCATTTTGCGACTTTTAATGTTGAATCACAATAAATTTAAATCTTCTATGCAAATAGTTATGATTAAGGTTACATATTCAAAAACTATATTCAAAGTTCTATAAAGTCACAAAATCCAAAATAGAAAGTAATTAATAAAAAGATATCATAAATAAAATCAAATTATATTAACAAAAATATTAGACTCTGCAAATAATCATTTTTAGATATAAAGAAGTACGTTTTCAATAGTTCAAGAAAGTGATAAAATTAGACTTGAGAGGGTATGTTAGACTTAAAGATAAAAATTAAATAAAAACAAAAACAAAAACTCACTAGTATTTCCTAACTGTACAAAATTGTAAGGAATCGACTTTTCAACTTTGAACGTTTGATTTCCTCAAAAAAAAGTTTGAATGTTTTATATTTCTATTTTCTTCTTATTATTCAGTTTTTCTATTTAATAAATAACCTTTTCATAGGCGGAATGGTATAAGGTTGTTTGTTTCAGGATGTTTTCTTTGGACTGTTTTCAGTCCCAAACCAGACCAGACTTTCGTAGTTATAAAATACACAGAGACCAGACATTTATCAGACCAGACCAGTTCAGACCAAACCGGATCACACCAGCAAATTTCAGTCCTAAAGAAAGCATCCCAACTATCCAAATATTTTTCTTGCTTATTTTGTTGAACACATAGAGCCCATTTGACAATGTCCAAATTGGTTGCACAGACTGGTTTTGTTGATATTTATGAAATTCTTGCTAAAGTGGATGAATTGGCTGATTATATTGATTTATGAAAAAAAGTATATCTAAAAATATATTTCATGAATAAAACAAATACAAACTTATATGAAAAATAGCTAAAATGATCATCTACAATAATTTCAGCCAATACAACCTGAATTTAACTCCAACCTTACGTTTTCTTCTTATTACACAATTCATCATACGAGCTCACAGTTTAAGTTTTTAACTATTCTTCATGTAACTTTTTTTTTTATCTTATCAATAAATTATTCGTTTCCAATTAATCTTTCCATATTTTAAAGATTGCTAAGCACAACATTTGACACACTATTTAAGGAGGAAAGTAATACGATATTACAAATAATGAATAGCCTAGAAAAGCACTAAAAACAGTGTAAAGAGTGAAAAAGAAAATAAAAAGTAAGAAAAATAAAGAGCCCGTTTGGTAACACTAAAATTGGTCGAATTGACTGATTCTGTTGAAATTTTTGAAGTTCTGGTTGAAGTGGCTGTATTGACTGATTCATAAAAATATTATATTTAAAATATTTGTTATTAATAAGTAAAATAAAAAATTATATGAAAAATAGCTAAAATGATTCTCTATAATAACTTCAACCAATACAGCCAGAAAAGTAACTCTAGCCTTACTTTTTCTACCTATTACATAATTCTGCGCGCGAAAGCAAAAATTGCGCGTTTGGTGAAAAAACTGACTCATAAGCCTGATAAGCCGAAAAATGGGGTCACCAAGAGCCCATTTGGTAGCACAAAAATCGGCTGATTTGGCTGATTCTGCTTAAATTTATGAAGTTCTGGCTGAAATGACTGCATTGGCTGATTATGTTGATTTAAGAAAAAAAAATAATTTTAAAATATATTTTATTAAAAAAGTAAAGAAAAAATTATATGCAAAAATAGCTAAAATGGTCATCTACAGTAACTTCAGCCAAATACAGTCAGAAAAGGAACTCCAACCTTACTTTTTCTGCTTATTACACAGTTCAGTGCGTGAAAACAAAAGTTACGTGTTTGGTGAAAAAGCTGTCTGATAAGCCTGATAAGCCGAAAAACAGTGTTGCCAAACGGCCTCCAAACGGGCTCAAAGTCAAATAAATAGTTGGTGACAACTCCGATACCTTTCTAAAATATGGGGTACCGTACCTATCATTCATTTGATTGGACCACACCACTTTATCATTTTTAATTTAGATTTAAATAATTCAACTACTACATTCTCATTGGTCCATGTGGACAAATGTATGGTACCTTATGTGTACCATAGAATCTACCTAAATACTCCCTCCGTCCCTTAAAACTTTGCTAACATTTCTTTTTTAGGTGTCCCATTAACTTTACCACTTTCCATTTTAAGTAAAGAATTTGTGGTTCCAGTTAATTCTCTCTCCTCTGCACAAACATCAATCACACAATTTTTACTTTATTAATTCCCGTGCCGGTCAAACTTGGCAAAGTTTTAAGGGACAGAGCAGTAGTTTTAAGGCAAACTTATAAAAGGGGAAACTTATCCTAAAAAGGAAAGCACATTAATGAGAGGATGGGTGAAGTGAAATGAAAGACTTCTTACCAAAGAGAAAAGTATAGACCCAAATCCCATCATTCCAAACCGACCCACCAAAGAGTCGGCCATGAAAGCTCCGATTATGGGGGCAGTGTTAGAGAGGGCAGAGAAAATGTAGATGTAATTAGAGGCAGAAGCCATTTCCATATGAAACTCTTTCATCAAATACACTATCATGTTTGCTCCCATAGCTGCTGCCACCATACACATCAACCCAGAACTCCCTGTTAATCATTATATTTATCCATCCATTACCATTTCTTCGGTAACAAATAGAACAAGGAAGAAGAAGAAGAAATCAAAGCTCAAAAAGACATGGGGCTGTTTACCAATGATGAAAGGCAGGGTTTTGAAGCCACCCTTAGGAGAGACATGAGTTTTTGGTAATAATAGCTGCTTTTGCTCCTCACCCATCTTTTCCATGAGTTAATTTTCAAAGTGTAATAATGTGAGTATTTCACACGCATAAATCTCTTGTTTGAGGACTGTTAAATCCGCACATGTCTGGGAAGGATGAGTTGAATTATTTCACTACGTAGTGCACATTGGTTATAGGTGGTGGAGCAAAGTTATACGGAGCACTACCAACTCTTATCAGTCTGACAGAGGCAGGACAGATAGAGATTAATTAAATCATCTTGTCATTGAATTTTATTTTTGAATTACACAAACAAAGTAAAAAAGTAAAGCGAAAATCAATATTTGCGCCATGAGGCTATGCTATAATTATTAATACAATCTTGCATTTTTAAAATTCAATTATTTGATCCTTGAATTTTTATCATTCCCAACAGTTTGCCCCCCCCCCCCCCCCCACGTTATTATTTGTTTAATTTAATATAACTTTTAAATTTAATGAAAGTTGGCTATAAAATTTAATTTTAAAGTAAAATACAATTTAGTATCATAATTATAAGTCATTGTTGTTGATCGTTATTTTTTTCTTATCTACTCGATCATGGAAAAGATACTAATGAATGTAGTTAAGAGAGAAGACTCACGTTATAAAATCGCACTTTTAGTCTCTTAAATAGTCACCATATTGAAATGTCAGACATGTGTTCCCTTCGATCCAAATTGGTCAACAACCAGGGAGTCTATATCGGTTGATCGACAACTTGGTGGTTCGGTACCCTATTTTTAAATCATTTTTTCGAAGTGAAACGTTTCAAAAGAGATATTGGGTTACCAACCAATAGGGATAAGGGAAAATGAAAAGGAATTAGTCAAACTAGTTGTTGGGACAGACCGAGACTGGCCGATTTCTGTCCCAACATAACTATATACCCAAGATCGGAACCGTACTTTTGGCTTTCCGGACGATTCCAGAATCGTGTGAAAAAATTGATAAGACATATTTTCCCAAAAAATTAAAAAGTAGAAACATAAAATTAGAGAACAAAATAAAAGAATGGGAAATGTTTCTATGAGTATTGAGTAAATGAGTCTTTTTGTAGTGGAAGAGAAAATCGAAAGTTCAAGAATGACGATGGCAAAAGCTAAAAGTAAAAATCCTTGCTCCATTAATATCGGACGGTAGTTCATTTCAGGTATACCCACCGCATTCAAATGATGTTATATAGTACAGAATCGTTATTTGTGGCCGTCTGCCGCGCCGAGTAAGTTGTTCTTGCCTTCTTGGTATATCATACCTCACCCAACAACTATGGCGATCTAATCAAACTATTCTAAGAATGTTTTTAATTGAACTGAAGTTTTCTAGTCTGATTTTGTCTGATTTGTTTGTGTGATCTAATTTAGTTTGATAAATGTATGAGTTTGTGTATTTCATTATTATCAAAGTCTGGTCTGTTTAATTCCGTTTCTGATCTGTTATTGAAATAAATCTAAGTAAAAACATTCTAATTTCTTTTATCTAAAAATTTGTATAATTATTTCAAAAACTTCCATCAATATGTGGAGAACTTATTTAAACAATAATTATGTACTTCTTTTGTCCCAAAATAAACGTCTTGTTTGCTTTAGCACAAGTTTTAAAAGTGGTTGAAAAGGCAAAAATTGTGGTTGAGATTAGGGGTGGGCAAACGGGTCTTGGAACCGCGGTCCAGTCCGGGTAATGGCGGTCCGGGTCCAAAATGGACCGGTTCCATTTTTTGTTGCCATAAAACGGTCCGGGTAGGGTCGGGTAATTTTTTTAAGGAACCGGACTGATTCCAAAATTAAAAAATAACGGGTACCCGGCCCGACCCGTTATATATATTGTATATTACCTTATTAATAGTTTTGTGATAATCGCTTTTGAAATAGTTTTGTGATAATATATTAAATTGAGTTGGAGTAACATCCTTTTGTTTTCAAATTAATGATTAAATGTTTCATAAATATCTTATTACTTTTTATTGTTATTGAATTATTCCTTTCTATGGAATTTAATTATTTGTTAAAAATGATTTTGTTATATTTTTTTATTATATTGTTCTTCAAATATATAAATTGTGTTTACCGCCTACCATGTATGTGTCAACTTTGGCTAATACTGAAAATTTAATATTAAAAAAAAGCAATCACTTGAATATGTGATGTTAGGCAACATGTTTAAATACAAATGTTAGAAAATATGTATGTTGACTAGGTTGCATATTTTTGGAATTTCTTTAATTGTTTGAAACTTATATACATGAAATTATGGAGTATTGAACTTGTCGCTTGTATTACATGTGCACCACTATGTTGTTATTTTGAAACTTGCTAATGTCCTATATTATTGATTATTGATTTTTGGAACTTCGTGAGTTTTTACTAATTTCAAGACATGAGAATAGAAACCGTAAAATCCGGACCGGACCGACCCATTTCAAACGGGCCGGGTAATTTCCGGTTCCTATTTTGAAAATTGTAATACCCGGACCGGACCGAACCGTACAATGGAACCGGCGGTTCCATTTTATTTTGCATTACCCGCCCCGACCCGGCCCGTGCCCAACCCTAGTTGAGATATGAATGAAGAAAATGTGAGTTTATATGAGCCACATATTATTGTCAAAAAAGGAAAGAAGATAAATTATTTTGGAACGGACCGAACGTGAAAGTAGGAAAGTTATTTCGGGACGAATGGAGTACTTGCTCGAAATAGGACAATTTCATTTTAGGATACCTAGTTACTTTTTTAGTATGATGTCAGGATGCCACAAGCGTAGCTCACTTGATGGGAAGGAGTGCGAAAAAGGAGAAGTCTCATGTTTAAGTCCAAGCAAAAACCTGAACCAGAACCCCGCTCTCTTTCCATCGGTGTGTAGGGGTGAGCAAAACCGACCCTACCCGAAAAATCCGATCGGATATACCCGATTGTGGGTGAATGAGTCGGTTGACCCAACCCGCCTAGTTAAACCAACCCGCCAGCCCGTTAAATTTGGGCTGATTAATATCGGGTAGGGTACTCCTAATGCCTACCCGACCCGCCCGAAAACCCGACATAGCCTAAGCCCACTACCCACAAGCCCATACCCATTAACCTATAACCCATTAACCCCAGCCCTATTTCCCTTATCTGGTTATCCACTTATCCATCTTTCCCTTCTCCGGTTAACCCTAACCTACACTCTCTATCTCTCTGACTCTCTCTAAGTGGCTGACCCTAACTTACACTCTGACTTCTCTCTTCGCCGGCCGCCGTTGCCATCGATGTAGGGCTGTAGGGCCGTAGTCCTGAACCTGGTGGAAGCATTCATCTAATCATCTCCTTCTAGCCGAGCGCGTTGGTTGTGTGAGTCAGTGAGTCTGTGAGTAGTTGACACTTGAGACCGATTCCCAATCTTTTTTCTTTGAGCTGTTGAGGTATAAAATACTTAAACATGTTTGTATAATGGTATGTCGATTGTTGAGTCCTTGATGAGTTGATGATGCATGCATGTTCTAAGTTGTCAGTTGTGATGTTCGTATATATTTCTGAAAGTTGCATGTTGAGATCTTCACACTTGATATCTGAGTTCAGTCATGTACAGATCTGTTCAAATCTTCGCTTGTCCAATTGCTCACTTGTCCCTGTTTATTTGAAAATTGAAATATGAACGTCGAACTATAGAAAATGGTAAGTTGTATCTGAAATTGAAATTGAAATATAGGGTTTAGGGTTGGTGTTGCTCTTTCAGTTCATAAAATGGTAAGTTGTAACTGAAATTGTAGCAGATGCCCCCTATATCCCTTGTGAATGATAATAAGAATTCTGAGCTATATAAATGTCTGGTTTGTTTTAATTGTGTCACCTACATGTTTTGAATTGCAAATGTTGGTGACTTGGTGGTGGACCCGCTGGTCCTTCTGTATCCTATACTGTCCCATAAGCCCATTACTCATTTACTCCCATTCTCTGATACTTTCATACTCCCATAAGTCCATTACTTGAATATATTGGAAATGTTGGACCTTGGAAGCCCGTTAAGTATATCTGTTACCTGTATATGTTATATACAGTATGCATGGTTAATACTTAAATTGTTGGATATATTGCATGAACTGTGTACTAATTTAGCTCACAAGTATATTTTTGTTGTACTTGTGAACCCCTATATGCATGTATAATGTATTGTGTGCTTGTTACATTTGAATGAGTATGATTCTGTCATTCTGGAAAGCATGCACATGCTGCCAACTGCAAACTGTCCCTGGACCTTTGTCACTTGATCTGATTTCCAGGTTTTGAGTAAGTGTCTCTTTATCCCATTAATCCTTGACTCTATCATTTATATTAATTTTCACTGGCTATGATGAAACTTCCACACATTACTGAATGTATGGTTTAGGGTTGGTAAAGCTCTTTCAGTTCATAACATGTAAGTTGTAACTGAAATTGTAGCAGTTGCCCCTGTATTCCTTGTGAAGGATAACAAGCATTCTGAGCTACTGATCCTCCTTATTTGTTTCGTTAACTTATCCTTGACTCCTTGTTATTGACTTATTAACTTCTTGTACTACATGTGTATTGCTTCAAGTTTCAATGTGTTCATTAACTTATATTTGTATGCAGGTGGAAACTTAAGTGTGGAAAATAGCTGTGGAAGTGTGGAACTTCAAGTGTTCAAGCAACTAAGTGAATTGGCTGAGAATCTGAGAAATGGAAATTGGACTTTTGGATGTATTATTTTTGCATACTTGGAACTTTGTGTAATTAATTAATATGCTATCATATTCTAATTTTGTATGACTGCTAATCTTGTATGACTTCTATCATATTCTAATTTTGTATGGGAATCAAATTATGTTTTGCAATTTCAGTTTTTTTTATATATATTACTGTTTTAAAAATTAAACCGATTGAACCCGAACCCGATCCGAACCCGCTCAACCCGAATTTCATAAAAACCCGAAACTATACAACTAAAAAACATAGGGCATGGTATCTATTTTACCCATCTGAAACACGAAAGGGTCTTGGGTTTACCAAGATAGGAGAGTTTTAGTACACTGGATGATTGGTAAGGGATTAGCGTGCACAGGCGCGGACCCATGAAATTTATCTTGGGGGTTCAAAATATTTTTTTCTGGGGGGAGGAGGGGGGCGAAAGTTATATTTTGAGGGGACAAAAATAACTTTTTGTATATATATACACTATTTATTTTTGTTGGGGGAGGCGATAGTCCCCTTGGGTCTGTTAAGCCCATAATTCAATGGGCCAGGGCATCCTCGGACCATCCACCGAAGTCCAGCACCGGGAAAGAAGGTTCCAGCAACATGACCTGGAGAAGTTAAACATTATATGGTAAGGGCTCAAACAAGGAAAGAAATAAAGAAGGCTCTCGAGAAATAAATGGACCAGCTCCTACTTCCTTATTATTCGTATGTAATCAATGAGAGAATAAAATAAAAAAGGAAGGTTAATTTGTATAAAGAGGGGGGATTCGGTCCTTGGGTTTATAGCAAAACACACACTTTGCATTCTTACAGATTATTACAAACGAGTAGCAAACCTTTGCTCAATTAATATTCAATTGTTATTATTATTTTCTTTGTTCTTGATCTCCTTAGTGTTGATTCTTAGTTGCTTGATTCCCATATAATCATTATTCTGAGTTTAGCTTAATTGGGCTAAAACAGGGTCTTTACTACGGTCCGCATTTGAGTGTGCATGATCCATCCATGCTCAACCCAAAAGGAACCCCAGGGAAAAGGCAAGCACCAGTAGCACACTAGCACCACGGGGGCATATGTGTCATACAAGGGCTGAATCGGACTGAGCCCGAATAATTGTTAGTAAACCGAGCTTCAAACCAAAACCAAGCTAAACCAATCCAGAATCGGACTGCACCCAAATCAGAACACGTCGGTTCGGTTTTATCTTGATTGTATTCTTTCCAATCGGAACTGGGATCGGATCGAAACTTTAAACCAAAATGTCCATCGCTACTAAATAGCGTGTTATTCTTATCTAGAGTGACACAACCAGTTACATATCATGTTTCGTGCTAAACGTACAAACCAGACTAATTTAAGTTTGATAACTTTGATCGTGTGAACTGATTAATGCTAATATTTTAGAGAACATAACTAATAACTATACTGAAAAATCAAACGATTCTTATCAGAATTTACGAGAAAATGGACTGGTAGGAATCAGAGACATTGAAATTAATTCAGAGTACTAATTAGCTTCTTTCATTCTATTTACCCCCAGGGTACCAAAATGCAGTAATACAACTATAAAAAAGGAGATGCTATATTGTGGTATATGAGAATACGAGGATCTAAGCTAGAAGTGAGTTCATGAAGACTCTACTTCAATGCCACCCTTCACTTTCCTCTCTTCACGGCAGGGGCCATAAGCACGGCTACAGAAGATGAATAGCAAAAGATTCAGCAGACTCAATCCAGCAAGTACCCAATTATAGTAGTCATAGTGACCCTGATTTATGTTGCTCGATATCCAGCTCCCACCTTCCCCACCTTTAGTGACCTCATTGACAAAGCTCATCAAAAAGCTTGCTAGCATATTCGCTGCCGCTACCCCGAGCCCAAAAAAGTTGGAAGCTATGCTCCACATGCTTTGCGGGAACTCTGAAATGTAAAACTCATTCTGAGCAACAGCGTTCATTCCCTCTGCAACCCCCGCGAGAAGCGAGCGTGGTATGATCCACAGAACAGACATATCCACAATGCCCCCGGGGTTTTCAGAGAATCCCTCCTTTATTGCGAGGTTCCGCCGGTAAGCCTCCACCAAGGCCGTTACCACGACAGAAAGGAAAGAGACGAAGATCCCCGACCCCATTCTCGCCATCGGGCTGAAACGGAGACGACGTCTAATGATTCGATCATCAAACACGAGCCACATTATGATGGAGGTGTATGAGAACATACTTATAGAGCCAGTGGGGATTTGAAAGCTCATAGATGATGATCCAATGTGGCGGTTCATGGTGGTTGCTTGAAGCGTGGAGAAAGTGCTTTGGCTGGCATTAATGCTCATTATAACTCCGGTGACCCATATTGGGATTACCTTAATGCATGCTTTAAGCTCCTCTACTTGCTCTACTGTACAAAGACTCCATGGATTTGAGGCTTTCCCATCTGGGTTTACGTCTTGTTGGGGATCTTCTATAATGCAAGCCTTATTCAGAAACCTGAAACAATTAGTCCATTAATGCGTTTTTAGATGTGGAGCGACTAAAATCAGCAGGAGAGGGCACACTGTTTTGTTTAATGGGACCCACAAGGCCAACTCAAATTAATCAATATTAAGCTTGAACTTAAAGAGAGCACACTAAGACTAAACAAACCGGGGCAGTTCAGTCTCTATCAGAAAAATTCAGTCCAAACGAAAATCTTCTAACTTAATTTGTTCATAACCACATGACCTATATTTTCTTATGAGCACAATCTTATTCAGTTATATGACTACAACTCTTGAACTTTTACTAAGAATTAAAAAACCAGGGCATGCCTTATTTGATTGCCTTATATGAAAACGCTTACACTATGTTGAAAATATTTATTGTATTACGAGGATTTTTTATATTAGAACACATAAGTCTTATTTTAGAAAGAAAATATATTTACTCTTATGTTAGAACTTCATCAATGTTTTGCTCCTATTTTGAGCAATTTATTAAAATTCTAAATATCCATACAGAAACCTTAGTTGTTCAAATAATCGCTCCACAGCGGGGCAACAAATGACTGCAATTACCTTAGGGTTTCACTTGGGGGGCATATCGTGGTGCCTTGTTGATGGTATGCCACAAGACCTCCACCATTGGGTGGAATCACAAGGCTCCTCTTTCTGTAAAAAGCAACAACCACTTGAACTAACCCCATGATTAAACTTCCTTTGGGTTTTGACCTGACATAGAATGGGGACCCCAAGAGGATGAGAATAGTAGCAAATAGCATTAGCAAGACAAGGATTCCAAAACCAATTTCCCATCCCATGTTCTCTTGGACATAGACCAAACAAGTCAAGGAAATGATAACAGATACCATTTTAACACCATAATAACAGCCAAAGAAGCTCTCCATTGCTTTCTCATTTTTTCGGATATTATTTAACTGTTCAACTCCAAACGCCAAGGAAGAAGCTTTTACTCCCCCTTCACCAATGGATATGAGGATAAAGGAGAGGTATAAAAAAAGAAGTTGCAGAGTTGTTGCAGAAGGGCAAATGATGTTAGATTCAGTGCAAGGAGGCGGCCTTGTTTGTGGTATAATAGTTGTTAGCCAAAACAGAAGTATTCCCTGCCAAAAACAACATGACTTTCAATTTAAAAAATCCCACTTCTTCTCCATACACTTTTCACTGAAGGAATATAATCACAATCACTACCTCCCTCTCTTACAAAGACGTTTTAAAGTTATTTTTACATATATTAAGAAGTAACAAAGGATAGTTTTAGCAAATGTTTTACCTGCTAATACAACTCGAATATACGACCAAAAAATCTTACGTGCCTACTCCGGAATTCCACATATGCAGCCAGGCAGCCTTGTAATTCCTTCATGCATAGTTTTTTTTTTTGGAATTACATGTACAAACTACTTGGCTCAGAGTTGGCTGCATATATATGTGGAATTCCAGCAAAGACATGAAGGACTTTTTTAATTTTTGAGGAATGTTAAGTGACACCACCAGATAAACATTTAAAAGTAGTCGTTTTACTGATTTGATTCGTCAAAGAAATAAGGGACCAAAATGCTTGAATACTAGTTAAAGTTCTATTTGTGCGTTTTCCCCGATGGAATTTGAAAACCTAAGAAAATAGTTTGTGAAAGCTTAACTAATAATGTATGTCTAATGTGTGCACCTTTTGTAGAGATATAACAGTAATATGAGTTACTGTAAGAACTAGTGTAATAAATTAAGCAAATTACATTTAATTAGAACCGGACCCTTTATGCCATGTAGCCCAATTGAGCCATGTTTCATATATACACAAATATTGGGTCAAACCACTCGAAACTATGGAGTCCTGTCTATCAGCTAGTTCAATCAATAGTCGAATCAATTCATCATTTTATTGTACTTTCTGATGTAAGACTAACAAATGTTGAGAGCAATGCCTTTATACCAAAATGAATTAAGCAAGGGCATACAAGGAAATGAACAATTAATGGCAAGCTTAATACAGAGTAGTTAATAGAGCAAGGGGTTGTTTACTTTTTTTCTCATTAAGTTCTGTCTGGATTAAGATATCTGTCTGTATTAAGACATCTGTCTGGAATAAGTGACACTGGTATAACAAGCTGTTTACTATGTGTGCTGAATGTGTGGTCTGAATTATATTAAATTACCAATTTATCCTTATGTTTGTATTCCTGTAACAAATGCTAAATACGAAGTTTGAATTAAATACAAATGTTTGTATTATCTCTTTCCTTTTATTATTCTGAACGAGGCCATAAAAAGAGTTCATGCTCTGCCAAATGCTATTAAAACCAGCAGAATTAACCCAATATGCAATAGTCTTCTTCTTCGTATACATATTTCTCCTAATTTTATAGTTTTGGGTAGAGTTGGTTAAAGTATTTTTTGGAAGCATCTCCTAATCTTAAATTTATCCTAAATTTAAGAAGAAAGTTTTACTCCCTGGGTTCCGACCCCTAATTGAAGAGCTGAGACTATTCCTCCCCCCCCTCCCACAGGCCACAAGCAAGCTTTCAGCGAAAATAATTGCAGGGGGAAGCTCTCTCTATTTCCCAGATTGTGTCGTAGGGGATGTAGCTTTGGTCGTTGGCGATGGAATGGATTCAGACGAGTGATGTCAGCGATGAGAGGTGAAGGCGGCGACTAATTTTGGTGCTAAAGACAAGCGAAGAATGAAAGTATCGGCTATGAATGCAGAAGCCAACGATGGAGAAGCGAGGGTTAAAAACGAGACTCTATTAAATTGAGGTGTCTAAACGGGAAGGACAATCAAAAGCTAGCTGAACGAATAAGTGACAAAGTATCTGAGCGAATAAGACACAATTTGGATTAAGTTCTAAGTAAACAACACAATATGTCTGAACCAATAAGTTATCATTTTCAATTAAGTCGATTAAGTCCTAAGTGCACTATCTGTGTAGATGGAGAACAACGAGTTCTAATATGAGTTTCCTTCAATGACTAAGTACTAACCAACTATTAGGGGTCTCTACAACTTTGTCAAGTTTGACCGACATGTATAATAATAAAGTAAAGAGTGTCTGATTGAGATTTGTGTACAAGAAAAAGTAATATGGAGTAATAGGAATCACAAATTAGTTGAGGAAAAAATCAATTTAAAAAAGGAAGTGACAAAATTAAAAGGACAGATAGAGTAATTAGTATTCCATGTTTCATACTAGTATATCTCTTGTGTGTGTTAAATGAGGTAGTGAATTGAGACAAAGGCCAAAATTATCCTAGAAAAGACTAAAAAGTATGTCAAACAAGCTATAAATGAACACAAGAAATACTTAAAAAAAAAGAACACAAGAAATATTCCGTATAAGGTTCTTGTCAGACATTAATGAAACTAGCAAGAATGTGTAAGAGCATATCATACAGAACAGTTTCACCATTTCAAGAGGTGAAGAGCTTACCAAAAGGTTAATAACAGATCCGATGCTAATAATCTGAAACCGACCCACAAAAGAATCTGCCATTAAAGCTCCAACGACGGGTGTGATATTCGAAGCTGCATTCCACCAATAAAGCACATTCGAGCCAGCAGCCATATCCATTCGATACTCCCTCATCAGATACAATATCATGTTGGGAGTCAACCCGCAATTTGCCAATAACATCAATGCCAAATTTCCTGTCCATTATCCACAGTAAGGTTAACGACAACCCTCCCTCAATAAATCAAATTGTTAGGCAAGTTATATTCACAATCCAATCCACAATACATCTTTATATTAACTACGTAGTAGTTCATATACCGTACCACAAGTTATAAAATCTACGAATTTTTGTAATTTAGGTGAAACACGCAGTTTTTTGTAAATTGAGCATCGGACATATTTTGTTGAGTATTTCAGTTTAATATTGAGTATCGTGACATCTATTTCATATCTTCTGATTTTTTTTTTTTACTCCGGGGGGTCTGGGGGAGGAGGGTTGGGGGGAGACTGGAGTAATCAGGGCTGAAACTCACTCCATTGAGTTTCACACCCTTGTGTTTCATATCTTCTGATTTACTTTCTTTTTCTTATATTTTCCTTTTCTAAAAATTTCTTAAATTAAATCTGTAATGAACCCCTATAAATTCTAATATGCGAATACAATTTAATATTATACTTTTGATATGCATTCATATGAAAATTATAAACTTTGCTAATTGGGCATAAAAACATTTTCATTGAACATAAAGTTTCCTCTGTTAAGCATGAAACTCTGAAATTGAGTGTACAATATTTGAAACCTTATTGAGTATCAAAACATTTTCATTATGTATCTCTTTCTCTACTATTATGTGGATTGAGCATTGAAATTGTCAAATTGAGTATACAAAATTTCAAACTTCATTTAGGCATCAAAATAATTTTGGCATGAAACCAGGGGCGGACTCATGAAATCCATCTTGGGAGGGTGATAATTTAAACAATTTTTTTTGGGGGGCGGATATTATTTTTTGAGGGGGACATAAATTATTTTTCGTATATATATACACTAAGTTGGGGGGGGGGGGGGGGTAGCCCCCCTAGGTTTGCATTAGGGTCCTCGCCTGCATGAAACTCTTCATTGAACATTTTGTTCTTGACTTTTGATTATCAAGGCTATGTGTGAGCTGAGGAAGCCGTCCAGTTCAGCAGGTCACTGACTCAATCTCCCGTACGGAATGTCTCGGGTTCAAAACTTCATGGAAGGCGGTACAACCGTGTTTACTCCAAGCTCCCTCCAACCCTCTCCCCCCTGACCCCCGTGGTAAAAAAATTCGAGGTTATGTGTATTTAGCGCTAAAACTCCGCAATTGAATATAAAATTCAGAAGCTCACATCTCCACTGAACATCGTGTTTTCTACTATTGAGCACTGAAGTTATGTAAGCATGCTCCAATCTGATCGCGTGAGTTTTGTCGGCTTGTTATGCCATTTTAAAATGAGCATAACACCCGTACCTAATCTTCTAAAAGGTATTAGGAGCTAGTCAGGTGTTTGCCCAGCGCCTAGTGCCTAGGCGGCTAGGCGGGCGGCTAGGCGGGAGTAGTCGGAGACACATAAATTGTATTTTTATCATTTTTTTTGGCGTAAATATGGTAAGTAATACATCACAAAACGGTAGTATCGTGCTTGTGTGTATGAAAAGTACACACACATTAACATGCATGAATGAAATATATGATAATTAATCCCTTAACTACATTAAGTTGTAAATATTAAGTAATAATAGAATTTAAGTATATATACAAACATATATTGTTTTTAATTTTTTACCTTAATTTACAAGTATCTTTCTTCATATTCGTGATTAAAGTTAAATGTATATATATCTTTTACAAAAAAAGAAAAAGTAAAACAAAAAATGTTTGACCAATCTAGACACCCTAGGTGGTGATTAGGCGCTCAGGGCGGTCAACTAATTCATCCAGGAGCCAAACCAATTAATCGGGGTGCCTAGACAAAAATTGAGGCGCATGACCACTGCCTAGTGCCTAGGTGGGGAATATTCGGACGCCTAGAGCGATTTTTAGAAAAGTGCTCATACCGATTAGTATACATAATTTACAAAATGAGAACAAAAAAATTCAAAGCTAATTTTAAATCTCTAATGTGCTCAAATATTCATTTGTGTATGCTCATTTCTTTTAGGCGTTGTAACCGTTGCGAAGTACCATAAAGCTCATTTAATTTCTATATTATGCACACAGATTCATTATTATTTACAATTTAATAGACTATTACTTAGGGATGGCAATGGGGCGGTTCGGGGACGGTTTTACATATAACCGTACCCGCCCCATTTGATAACTCCCCGGCCCATAACCGCCCCAATACCCAACGAGTAATTTTTACCCAAACCGTATCCGCCCCAACGGGTAACGGGTATAACCGCGGGTAACCACGGGTAATCGCTTTATTAAATGAGTTATTGATATTTTAATATAAAAAAAATATTTTAAAAGGCGAAAAAATGGCATCACCTAGATAACTCTAGAATGAGACGCCCCTTTAAAGTTTCGTATATCTATAAGACAAGAAAGAAGACAACATAAATTAATTTGAACCTAAAAAACTTAATCTGAAAAAATAAATATTCATTAAAAATCTGATAATAATCAAACAAGATTGTTAAGATCTATTATGAACTCTCATGGAAACATTATAGTTAGTACATCTATTATCCATATACTCAATGAAAATAGAAAAATCTCATCTTCTATTACTCATGGGACAAATAATAGATAAAAATGTAATAAAAATATAACTAAAATAAACGGGGCGAGTACGGGGCGGGTAATGGGGCGGGTATGTATAAAACCGTAACCGCCCCGTTACCCGTAAAAACAAAACGGGTATTCCCCACCCCATACCCGTTACCCAGTCAATGCGATTTTTCACGTTTTGACCGGGACGGTTCGGTGCGGGTATCCATTGGATCGGTCACAATTGCCATCTCTACTATTACTACCTCCATATCACTATGTTTGGGACAAAAGAGTGTGACACAACTTTTAAGAAAAAATGGAATTGTTTGATTGATACTGAATTGATAATGTGAATAAAGTATAGAATGAATTCTAACCACCAAAATATTCCTAAATATGATATGTGACAATCTTAATGGGAAAAACAATTTTGTTGATTCTTGATCAAATTCCATGAGGATTTTTGTAGAAAAACAATCTGTACTCAACTCGTCGTTTTCAAATTTCAACCATGCTCACTTAAAACCGTTTATTATAAAACATGGTTTAGACCTGAATGCTAAGCACCAAGTAGCTGTAGCAGTTGCATCTTTGAGATCACCAGTGTGAGTGTGTGACAGTGCCCATCGGGAACGTAAAAACACTTCTATTTGAGAGACGGTTGGTAGTTATGTTGTGTGCAGGGGCGTAGATAGAGGGTAACATAGGCCCCGACCTATCCCAAATTGAAAACGTGCTTATATTTTCAGTGTAAAAAATTAAATGTAATTTTTTTCAAAAATATTCTTTGTACTGACTTAGTGCTCTGGCTCCGTCCCTGATTATGGGGAATGGGGAATTCGTTTTAAAGAGAAAATGATTTGTAGGGCTTGGTTTCATCCAAAAATTATACGAAGTATTTACTTCTATATATGTTAAAAGGTCAAATAGGTTCCTCTACCAGTCAAGAATGCTAAATTTAACCCCTGAACTAAAAAATAACTCCAATTGCACCCTGAACTCGATAAAAACATTCAAATTTCATTTAACTAAGAATATTTTACTTGGACTGAAATTTGCTGGTCTGATTTGGTTAAGTTTGGTATGGTCTAATCTAAACTGGTCTGGTCTGGTCTAGTAAATGTCTAGTCTTTGTATACTCCCTCCGTAACATATATATGTTCTCATTTGAAAAGTAGGTAGATTAAGAATAGTGAAAGGGAATATAAATTATTGAAGGTATGATGGGAAGATAGTGAAATAATGTGATGGAATGAGGGATAACTCCAAAAAAAGTAGGTGTAATAGTGTATTATTTTTAAAATTATTGAGGGTATGATTGGAAGATTAAGAAATGGGAAGATATGAATGTTACATCCAAAAAAGGAAAGTGAGAAGATATAAATGTTACGGAGGGAGTATTTTATACTTTTGGAATTCTGGTTTGATCTAATCTGTTCTGTTTAAGTCTTATCTGATTTGATCTGCGATTGAAAACAGTTTAACTTAAAACATTCTAATGCAATCAGAATTTTTGAATTTACAATAATAGACTTTCGTTCATAAATTCAATTCTACAAGAAGAGAGGCAATTAAAACTGTACTATTTGTTACCTCAGTGTGAGATAGCATAACAGGCATTTTTACCAAATAACTAATGAACCGCTTGGGATTATTATTGGAGAAGAAGAAATAGAGGCTAAGATTTGATCGACGATGATGGAGAAGAATTATATTGTCTGCAATAATATGAATTACCAGCAATGAAGGGCATGGTTCTGAAGCCACCTTGTGGGGCGGGAGAAGCTTCCAGGAGAGGCTGCAGTTTCTCTTCTTCTTCCACCATTGTTTTCTTCTGCTTTTCGTCTGATGAACAAACCCCCATCAGTCCCATACCACAGAAGTTTAAGAGTTATTCCTTTCTGCAAATATGCACCGACTTCAACAAGCTCAGGAGAAAGGGTGGGGAAAGTGGAAAGGAATAGCACATTGTACGTACTATTGTAGCGTGTCAGCATGCACCTAAGACAGCACCTAAAACATTAACTAAAATGGTCATTTACAGTAACTTCAACCGATACAAGTAGAAAAGTAACTCCAACATTACTTTTTCTGCTTATAACACAATTTAGCGCGCGAAAACAAAAGTTATGTGTTTGGTGAAAAAGTTGGCCGACAAGTCTGATAAGCCGAAAAACAGTGTTGCCAAACGGCTTCTATATTTTTTAGCGTATCAAACTTATCAATCAAATTTTTAATTACATACGTAACTTTTTACTTCACGCGCTGGACTGTGTAATAATGAAAAAAATTTAGGTTGAAGCTGCTTTTCTAACTATATCGCGTGAAGTTATTGTATGTAGAGAACTATTTTAAATATTTTTAATGTATTTTTTATTATTAAAAAATATATTTTAAATATAATCTTTCACAAATCATTTATCAATCCAGTCATTTCAATTAAAATTTCATAAAATTCACCGAAATGAAATGATTGGATTAAGCTAATTTAGGTGCTACTGTGTATGAAGGAGGCTCTTTATTTGAGGCCATGATTGGTTTGAGTTTCCTACTCCCCGGCACTCAGTCAGTGTGTTGTCTTGTCCGGGTACGAAACGCACTAGTTCGGCCCCTCTGAAAAATAATTGTACACATATATTGTCAACTTGTTACACTATATTTAGACTTACTTTTTCATTTTGCCAAAAAATATCTTACTTTTTCATTAGTTAGCGCAGTCATCAGGAATATCTAGATGCCCCCTCACCTCTGTTTTTCTCCTAGGTTGCCCAAAATTTTCTTCAACTTTACCTTTTTTGGTGAAAGATTCTCAAACCTTTTTTGGTGAAAGATTCAATGTGCATATTTTTGTTATTATAAACCTTAAACAAAAAATTAAAGATAAAAAATCATTGGGAAGTTGGGAACATTAGAACATATATTCCATTATTCCTCCTCCTCTTCCCCTCACCCCTGCTTCTCCATTTATATAAATATTTAATTATGATATCAAAAACAAATTTTTATTCAAGTTTTTGCCCATTAAATTGTACATAATGATCCTTATCTTTATCATTGAAAATAACTTTTAAAAAGAAGTTATTACTTTACATCGTTAGCTATTGGAAATTTATTTAGAGAAGGAACATTATCTTACTAAATATTGACAAGCCTTAATTATTAAAGATAATTTAGGGATTATTTACTTATACTCCTGAATAGTTATTATGAAGTTATTATGGTGTTGTTCCGGAAACACGCCCTACGACCTCTTCCTGGATCACGAGCTTGTAGGACTCTTGAACATTCACTGTAACACCCACCCCGCCCGGTCTGCCCGGTTCGGACGGATGTCACTGTCGATTATCTTTTAATATAAATTCCCGATAAAATTACGGATTAATTAAAATATAAAATAAAAGTCCAGCTTTGACTTTATTTTAATAAGCCTTATTAATCAAAAGCTGACTAAAAAAACTGTAATAGATTGTCACAAAATAATTGTTCAATTACATTGAACTTATCCAAAACTCAAATTAATCAAATCACATTAACTTTTAAAATAATATCTGTCATACTAACTTAAAAGAAAAAAAATGAAAATAAATCAAAACACACGCAATGCAATCCTGTCCAGATGTCTCCTTGTCCCAAGGCTCCACTTGAATCTCTTCTCACCTACGTGTAGAAAAGACTACACGCTCAGCAATGAATTGCTGAGTGGTACTATAATATAACATGTGATACAAATATGTATCCATATTTGTTACTCAAATAATTGAAAAAGGAGTATCAATATTATTATAGCCAATTTACATAATTATAACGTATACGTAAAACATATTTCACATTATCATCATAGAAGTCAAATTTAACTACTACTATTATTTCACATAATATACTTGTGAATTTATCACTTAAGAAATAGGTACATAAACCATGAGAAAATTGTCATAACATTTAACTAGAAATAAATCATGAGAAAATTGTCAAAACTTCATATTAGAAAATACGTATAAAGATCTCATATAATCTCATTCAACGCTTCCTTAATACAGATCATTTCATAATTTTACCATCTTTTCAACCAGATTAAGGTGGTTTAGTTTCACATAGCAGTAAATGGGAACATATGTCCTTTAAGGAAAATAATCATATATACTTCTTGCTCAAATGCATATACGAAGGATCCAACTTTCTGAATACATAATTCTTAATCTCTTTAAATCAGCCTTTACTCTTAGGACCAGACTCTAGCTAAGGATACAGATAAAGTAATTTCGAACAAAGTTCTAGTTACTTTACCCATCAGATATATAACAGAGATCTTCAGATCACAAGGATCATCAGATAACAGAACAGAGATTTCAGATTCAGAGGACCCTGGCCTGGGCCGTATGCTAGCACACCAGAGGAGTCGTAGTCGGTAAAACCAACTCGTACCCAAAACAGAACAGAACAGAGGTACCCATAACTAGCATCTAATCCCGGAGTAAGGCTCTTTCGTAAAATGTTTCACAAATTCATATATTGTTACAAAATATGTTAATCAAATAACATCAATAAACATACGACCATTAATTAGGCATCAATCATACTTGAAGACAATGAGGCTAGTACTTATAGTTTAAAATTCGAAACTTACTTTCATGCACATGTATTTTTTTTTACCGAAAGTAATATTTTAGTGCTAAACTCATCATTTTATCTTTAATTAAGAGATTATAAAATTATTTTAAAAGCATATATTATATAAAGCAGGTATATCTTTGCATCAAATAGCAAAATTATTAACACTTAACCAATATCGTAATAAAATTTGTAACACTTATATTATATAGTACTGACATCTCTTCGACTAATAAATAAAAACTATGGCACATAAAACATGTCATATATTATAGTACTGATATCATTTCTTTTAATAATAAATATAATTGCACGTAATAAATGTCGTATTATATTACAGACTAATATCTTTTCTTTGTATAACAAAAATAATGGCACTTAATATACATGTCGTATTATAGTACTGACCTTGTCGATACACCATGATTACGTACATAACTCTTCCGCTATTCTTCTTCGCCTCAATTTTTTCTTGATTCCGTTTCCTTTATTTCTATTCTCTTCTCTCGTTTTAATTTCCCGGTGGACGACCCCCAAGTCCTTCACTACTATCTCTAACTAAATATAGCGGCATTATATTAACGATGGGAAGGATTGTGTATGGTATCATGCTACGTGTCTCTTTTATGAGAATCTATCAACCAAGTATAGCTACATGGCATTTGATTGCTGCTATATACATGCATATGATATTTGTCTTCATATATGCTAAGCCAGCCGCCCAGCCACGTACATATTCTTTGCATGAGTAGTGAAGCCCACTTAGGCTTCCTCTTTTTGTTTTTATTAGTTATTGATGAGTACTACAGTCCTTTTAATATGCACCATTAATATGTGGCTCATTGCTAGAAACTAACGTCACTATATGCATGCTTAGTGTTATGTGAGTTCCGGACAAGTGTCCCGGCTAGCCATGTATTTGGCATGCAAATTTGTTTTATATGCCTTCTAGAAAAATCATTTTAGTTTGTAGTCTATTTTGTAGTTTAACTTTTTATATTTTACTTTGGTATTAGTATTATTGAAAGGTTAAATTTACCATCCCATAATTACGTACATTAGTATTAGTCGGTTATCCATTTTATTTAAGTAAGTAGAGTAATAACAACTACTCCATATTATTCATTATTTAACTGTAACTTTATTCATTATATTAACTGTATTCAATTCAATTTACTTTCTATGTAACATTGAGTCAATTGACTTATATTAACTATTATCACTTTATTCTAACATTAAAGTGCTTTGCGGTAAAGTAATTTAATTTATATCGTAAAATTACTAGACCGGTATTTGGGGTGTTACATTCACCCACTCATTATAATACAAAAACTCAATCTAAGAATATCACTTTGTATTATACAATTGAAATTTACAAGAGATATTTTATAAGTAAACATGTAGCTCACTTCACTCTTTGTATTTGGGACTACTTCATTCCACCTCACTAATGAGAAGCCTTAATGGATTATCGTCTCCTCTTACCATCAAGGATCGATGCTATTCACCCACATTCATCACAAGACATCTCTCGAATCTCTCTTCTCTCATAAGAAAGCTCTCACTTTCTATCTCTCAAGGAGACTCCCACTCACTCTCACTCAAGAGCTCTCCTCAAGGCGCCCTCTCTCATAACTCAAGGAGACTCACATAGGTATAAGAAGTGTCACCCCTATTTATTTATACGAAGTATGAATCTTCTCAAGATTTTCTAGAACTCTTTATACACCATTACACTTCTACACCATTACACTTCTAGAGTCTTCCAAAAAGAATTTACACGCTTCTCTAATATTCTAGAAGAATCTAGAGAACTCCATATTTCTTTCGAGTGTTCTAGAGACTTCCAAACATTTCCGGGGAAAGGGTCAAATAGGCGCTCGAACTTACATAAAAAGGTCAAATAAGCCCTTATATCGGAGGCTATGTCCGGCCGTCGCCATTTAAGGCGGTTCCCGGCGGAATATTTTGATGAATTTTTTGAGCAACTTATTCATTAAGTCTAGTTTATTCATACCAAATTTCAGATGAAACTTCAATCGAGAAGGCATTCAAATGAATTTTTGAAGATAATTGTGCAGTTAAAAGCGCAGTTATTTTCAAGTATTCATTTGAATGCCTTCCTGATTGAATTGTTAGCTGAAATTTGGTATGAGTAAACTACACTTAATGAATAAGATGCTAAAAAAGTTTCATAAAAAAATTCCACCGGGAACCGCCTTAAATGGCAACGGCCAGTCATAGTCTCCTATATAAGGGCTTATTTGACCTTTTTATGTAAGTTCGAGGGCCTATCTGACCCTTTTCCCAACATTTCCACACGGTTCTAGACGATTCCACACTTTTTGTAGAAAACGTTAAAATGTTTTAGAATATTCTACACTCTTCCACATGTTTCTAGATAATTTCACGTCTTTCTAGAATGCTCTAGAACATTCAACACTTCTCTACACACGTCTAGAGAATTCAAGAGATTTCTTCAACATATTATTATTCGCATGAACTTCTCAATTAAGAAGAGAACCCAATGATGTTATATAATTAGTTATTTAGTTATCATAACTTATATATTGATAATAATAATTGAAAGCTTCAAATGGTAGTTATGCATGAGTCGTGTTCATTGAGTAGTCATATTCATATTCTAAATTCTAAAATCAAATACGAAGTATAATTTTATTAGCTAAACGACGCAGCGGTTTTAATAGGTAAAGGACGCAAGCTTTGTTTTTAAGGTTGTGATTGATTTTAAAGTAATAATAATTGACTTAATAGTCATGTGACTCATGTCCGTTATTCATGGAATGTGTTTATTCCAAATCCCAAGTTCGTGAGAAACGATATTTTTTTTTTGGCAAGGAAAAAGATTAACTTTCATTAATAAGACCGGAGTTCAAAATAGAAGAAAGAAAAGTTGGGGCAACAAAAACCAACAAAAATTGCGAATCAGACATAGAACAAGCAACTCGAGCAATAGAATGAACTACTTTGTTTGCTGACCGCCTAATGTGAGAGAAAGAAACTCATATGAAGCAATTAACCCATATGAAGCACAACTAGAGCCCTTCTAGATTTCCGAGATTGCTCGGGAAGCATCCGACTCAATGTTAATATCCGTCCATTCTATTCCGTGAACCCAATTCAAAGCCTCTAGAATACCAATCAATTCTGCTTCCAATGGAGTAAGACTGCCCGCCCATGGACACGCCACACCAGTCAGGAACTCGCCATTTGCATTGCGAATACACCACGAGGATCGGGCTCGCCTAACAGCCCCCTTGCCTTCCTTACCAACCAGCTACGTCTGAACCCATCCTTTCACATAGATTTCAGCCTTCATCATAAACTGACCTGCAGATAAGGATTTATTTTGCTAGACCCGTTGATTGCGCTCACACCACAATGCCCAGCAACCCCAGGCGAGTCTCTTCAGGTCACTTCTGCTACGCGTCTGGAACTCCACCTTCAAGAGCTTTAAAAAGTTGTTGGCCTTAGCTCCCCTCCAATTCCAGTGAGGCAGTGAGCCGCATTCCACGCTTCTCGAGCCACCGAACACTCCTGAAAGAGTTGGATTAAAGTCTCCTCTTTTCCGCATAGGCCGCATAAATCGGGACAATTAACTCGTCTAGCTTGGAGATTCTCCTTTGTAGGTAAGCATCCGGAACACACCTGCCAAAATAATACTTTGAGTTTAGGAGGAATATTCCAAGACCACACCTTTGTTCAGTCCATCCAAGCCGAAGAATTCAGGTCCCCGATTAATTTTCTGTAACAACTACGAACTGAGAATCTCCCACCCTCCTCCCATCTCCATTGGCGAGAATTAGCCACCTGCCTGTAACTGATCATGGGAATACTAGTAATAAGAGACACAAAGCGGTCATCCAGAACATCCACTAGCAAATCTACATCCAAGCTTTTCCCTGATTCATCTAGGAGATTTGCGACAATTGTTCGTTGTAAACCTTCTGGCGCAGTCAAAATTACTTTAGGATTAATTGGGTCCTGAAGCCAAGGGTCCTCCCAGACATTAATAAAACTCGCCTTTAGGGTAGTAACGAGCTTTATACACCTTTCCAACGAGAGAGTCAGGAAAATTGAAAAGCCTCCTCGCCTCTTTAGCCAGCATGGCTAAATTAAATTCACCAAGACTCTGAAAGCCCAAACTGCCACAATTTTTTGGTTTAAAAAGAGAGTGTCAATCCTTCCACCGAATGCCTGAACCCGATTTCCCTTGCCACCAAAAGCAATGGGCAGTTAAATGATATGCTGCCTGAACCCGGTTTCCCTTACCTGATTTCCCATCCCGATTACTCATGACCGGGCTGACCCTCTGGGTCCGGGTTGACCCTTGACCCGATAACTTTTCCAGGTCACCCTTCATCCGGTTTTTACAAAATAGATCAAAATCCCAATCTATAGAAATGATATGTATATATTTCTAACAAAGTTTCCCTGGATAAAAATATGATCATGACTAGTTATGTTTTTGCACAAAAATATAATTAATTATTATTTCTGAGTAACTAGACAAGAGTCAATATATTGTATTGAGAGTGATAAGTCACCGGAAACTAGTCATTGAATATGTTACTTTTTGAACTTTTTAAAAATAAATCATATTTCTATCTTCTAAATTTTGAATTAATTTATAGTACGTAATATGTATCTCCATTCATTAAAGTCTCAATTTCCCGACATAAATCAATGGGCAGTTAAAAGACATTCATAGCGTAGGTGGGCATAGCCTGTATAACCGCCTTCAACAAAACCTCCCGACCCACTTTTGAGAGGAATTTATCATTCCAGCTATGAAAGCGATTGACTACTCTCTGTCTAAGATAGCTCAGAATTTCCTTTTTTCCCATACCAATCAAGGCCGACAACCCTAGATAACTTTCATTATTTCCCGCCACTCCAACTCCCAGAAGTTCGGTCAGCCCATTTCGACAGTCAACCCCAGTATTAGTGCTAAAAAAAACTTTGAATTTATTAAAATTAATTACCTGAACCGATGCCTCTTCATAGTCAGATAAAGACTCCTTAATAAGGGCAGCCTCCCCATGAGTAGCTCTAAAAAATAAAAGGATGTCATCTGCAAAAAATAGTCGAGATATCATAGGAGCTCCGTGAGCTATCCTTACACCGTGCAAACGACCAGTAGATTCATACTGTCGAAGTAAAGTACTGAGCCCCTCCGTGGCAATTAAAAATAAATAAAGTGTGAGGGATCCCCTTGTCGAAGACCCCTCTCAGGAGGACGCGGGTTAATTTCACTATTGTGAAACGGGATAGAGTAAGAGACAGAAGTAACACACTCCATAATAATCTAGATCCACCTCTCATCAAAACCCAAACCACGCATGCATACCCCCCAAGAAAGGCCACTCCACCCTATCGTAAGCCTTACTCATGTCAAGCTTTAATGCAACAAAATCCGTTTTCCCCTGTCTCTTCCTTTTCAGAAAATGTTGGGACTCAAAGGCTAACATAATATTGTCAACAATAATTCTACCAGGGATAAATGCACTTTGCTGCTCAGAAATACAAAGATAAAGCCATTTCTTCAACCTGTTCGCCAAAACTTTAGATTTTTTTATATAAATGACATTACAAAGTGCAATTAGCCGCCACTCCCCCGCGGCCCATAGTCTCCGGTTTCTCCTTCTTTGGAATCAAAACGAGATTAGTGTGATTAATTTTATTAGGAAGCTTACCGGTCTCAAAAACTTCTCTGCAGAAAGTAATCACATCCGGACCCACCATGTCCCGATAATGCTGATAAAAGCCTGGGCTAAATCCATCATGGAGATTTACCAGGAAACATATAGAACATGGCATCTTTGACTTCCTCTCCACAAATAGGGCGAAGAAGATCCAGGTTATGTCTCTCTTCAATTCTCCGATTGATAAGGCCGAAAATAAAATCACCTCTACCCGAGCCTGCCAAAAAAAGACTATTAAAATAACCTTCAATAATATCGCCTACTGCCGAGCGATCCTCTTCCCAACAGCCAACTTCTAACTGGAATCCATTGATTTTGTTCTTCCGCCTCCGGGTTTTAACCGAATTATGTAAGAATTTAGTATTAAGATCTCCCCCCTGAAGCCAAAACTCCTTGGCTCTTTGTATCCAAAAAATATGTTCTTGTTCGATTAGATCCAAATATTCTTGTTTAACTTTATGGAATTCCCCAATACTCCACACATCATTACGCTTACGAAGGTGATCCAACCGTTTCTTGCAAAAATTGTCCTCTTGACATAAGATCCAATCTTTCGATAACCCCAATAACTCACCGCCTTGCCACACGCCTGGACTTGCCCCATTATGCCAAACTCTCGGCCTAGTCCCCAGCTACGAGCCACTATCTCCCGACAGTCCTCCTCCTTGAGCCAGACATTTTCAAATTTGAATTTGCGCCTCCTTCGAGCCTCCTGTGATGGAATTAACTTGATAAAGAGAGCAAGATGATCGCTAGGAACACCCTCCATAGATTCAACCCAGGTCTCTCCAAAAATGTCCAACCAACCTTCTATCACAAGGATTCTGTCCAATTTCTCTTCAACCCAATTTGGTGTACCCCTCCATCGCTCCGAAGTGAACTAGTATCCTTTCAAAAGGAAGTTATGAAGACCTCACTCCTAGATTGTTTCCCGGAAGCCTCGCAGAAGCCAAGGTGGATGCGGGACTCTACCTCGTTTATCCGAAGGCACCATGAGGTCATTGAAATCTCCCATCACTATCCACGGGAGATTATTACCTTCACTTAGAGATTTAAGAATCCTCCAAGATTCCTTCCTTCTGGGTCTTTCCGGAAGCCTGTAAAAACCCATAAAACGCCATTCAGAAGCCCCAAACACTAAACTAATTTTAGTATCAATAAAATTAGTTGCTGACTTGAGGATCCGGACCTGCACATTTTCGCCCCACAAAAGAGCAAGGCCACCCCGGTGACCCACACAATCTACTGCAAAGCTATGAAGTAATCCAAGTTTTCTCTTTATACCATCAATCTTATGTGAAGTAGAAAAAGTCTCCATTAAGAAGACAACTGATGGCCTCTTCAAGTGAACAATGTCCACTAAAGCTTGAACTATCGCAGGGTTGTCAAGCCCCCGACAGTTCCAACTTAGGCAACTCATGACTCTCGGCGGGTCTGGATACCAGAACTCGCCGCTTCCCCGTTTTTTGAAAGGTCAAGGTCCATCTTCTCACCCGGAGTTGATACATTCTCAAAGTATTCCCCGTGTTCATGGGAATTTACACCTACCTTGCATTTCTTGGACACACTTCCTTCACCGAATTTTGTCTTGTCCGCTTCAAATTCTTCTTCGGTAGAAGGAAGGCTTGGTTCCACACGGTCCAGCTTTGCAAATAGAAACTTCCCCTCCCCATTAACCAACCATTTACTGCCTCTCCCAACACCACCTTTTTTGAAGCTTGCTTTTAACCAATTCCCATACATTTTTTCCTTCCCCCCTGCAGCGTACTCAAACCGTTTAGAACACATCCGGTCAGTATGGTTCATGAGTCCACATATATAGCAAAAGTGTGAAAGCCACTCACACTTCACGTCTACCCATAGTGGTTCTCCCTTCCGCTTCAATTTGACTCGACGTTTCAACGGGGCAGTAACTTCAAGAAGAACACAAACCCGCATAAATTCTTTCCATCCTCTTTTAAAATTGTTTTCATCTTCCAGAATCAACTGACCCACTTGATTACCGATAATTTTAGCCACTCCCATAGAAAAGAGATCAGACGGAAGGTTGAAAGCCTGGATCCAGAATTGAACATGAGTCAAAGGTATGGTAGCTGGATTGTCACTCCCCTCCAATTTGCGAAGTACCAGCAAGGCATTCTCTAGCACCATGGACCATCTACCATGATCCTTTCAAAGTCGACATCAATAAAGAATTGAAACAAGAACCTTCGTTCCCCGACCTCCCTAATGTTGACTCCTCCCATTGGACGCCACACATCAGCCATCATATCTCTGAAAAAAGAGAATTTAATAGTTTTATCTGATAACAAACGTCCAACCATGCATAACGACGTAGAGCATGGCTGGCAGTGGCGGACGCACTAAGGGTCCCATGGGCTCCCGGGACCCGTGGACTTCCAAAAAATTACCTATATATTATGTACTCCCTCCGTCCCAATTTGTTTTGCAAAGTTAACATTTTTTTGTCAACCAATAATAAAAGTCAACCCTCATTATGGATAATTAATTCAATTTTTAATAATTAAAATTTATATATTCAAAAACTACATTAAAATCTCTTCAAAGTTGTAAACTTCAAATTAGAAAATAATTAAAAATTGACATCCTAATTAAGTGAACAAAACGAGACTGTTTGACTAAGAAAAGTCAAATTTGCAACTCTTTTTGAGACGGAGGTAGTATATTTTATATAAAATTATTTAGGAAATGTACATATAACAAACACATGACTAAAGAAACAATGGATAGGAATAACGTAGTGGGATCCTTGGTGCGTTGAGTCTTTCCATTTTTGTGGAGGTACCGTGTTCGATTCTCCCCTGGCACGTTTTTACTTTTTAGTTTTACAAACGATTTAATTTAAATAAACCAAAACAAACTCATGTTTTTATTGTACGTTTCTCTTCAAATAAATCAAAACAAACCCATGTTTTTATTGTTTCTCTTCTAGTATCTTTTTTGGGATTAAGTATTAAACTATAATGTTATTTTCAATATTGTATTATGATTTAGAATGAAAAGATATTTCGATGTTGTACCTAAATTTAAAGAAATTTGGAGTGTCGAGAGTAGTTCATGTATTAATTCAAATGATTTGCCATTGGTAAATAAAGAATTGGATCAAGTAATTGCTGAAAGTAAAGCTAACTTGGCTTATAATCTACCCGAACAACATGTTGATTTTGAATATTTGGAAGCTGATCATGTATTGAGAATAAAAATTGCTGATTTTCATCCTAATGTTCAAGACGAGGTACGCTGTAGTTACCTTAAAAAAGAACCGTTTCAACTTCTGATTTGGATCTTGGTTTCCCCTTTAATTTAATTGGCGGCAAAAAACGTATATTTGTTTTAAGTTGGTTTGATGAGCATAAATGTTTCTTTACTATTTTTTTATTAGTTTTATACTACCTCTGTCTCACTAAGTTTGGGACAATTCGGTTTACGATGCTAGACTGACGATAAAGCAAATAGATCCATGTCCGCACTCAAATCATTTTTAGAAAAAAAAGTTACATATTCAAAAACTACATTAAAAGTTTTACAAAGTCGCAAAAACCAGAATCAAATTTGATAAAAATTTGATATATAGAGTAAGAGATTAAGAGTGATTTGTGTTGACCAAGTGAGTAGTGTCCGGGACAATCGTAGTGGAACAGAGGGAGTATTAATTAGAGATATACAAGGGTAGGGACTAGGGATAGACTCGGGCCGGTTCGGGCCTGGGCCCGGCCGGGCCTCGGGTCAGAAAACTGGGGCCCGAGCCCGAACCGCCGGTGGCCGGTTCCGGTTCCGGGCCAAACCGGGCCGGGCCAAACCGGTCCATTTTTTTTGGTTCTCCTATTTAACGCCCTACCCCCTCCCCCTCAACCCCAAACCACCCCAAACCACCTCAAATGGCCCAAAATACCTAATCCAACCCAAAACTTAAAAAAAATTCAAAAAAAAAAATTAAAATTAAAATCCGGCCCGGACCAGCCCCGAACCGGCCGGGCCGGTTCGCCTAAAGCAGGGCCCGAGCCCGGACCGCCCATCACCCGGGCCGGGCCAAACCGAACCGCTGGACCCACCGGGCCCCGGGCCGGGCCAAACAGTAACCGGGCCGGGCCGGTTCCGGGTCGGGCTGCCCGGCCCGAGTCCACCCCTAGTGGGGACCCCATGGCTCCGAATTTCTGGGTCCGCCACTGATGGCGGGGCTTCTGGTATGACATCATCAATATCAACACTATCCTCCCTGTCATCATTCAAGTTCGTACGTGCACAGAGATCCTCCATATCTTCAGCCATGATCGTGATAACCCAGCCACAAGCGGTTGTAAGGATTGACTCCCAACGAAATAACGGCGGCAAAACCCTAGACTGCTAGGGAGAGAAACTCTGCACCTATTTGACTATATATTTCTCACTACTATTTGGATGTTTTTACTTGGATTTAGAAACAAATTGTTATACCTCATATGATGGCATGACTTGTGATGATTATCGTACTCCTTTGGTTAAAACGATTTTATTGACAGAAATTACCTCAAATAGGACTAAAACTATGGTAAAAATAAAAAATAGAACATCTTATGTTTTTATTTCAAAATAGGACCATAGTAGTCAAAAGTCATAATTGAATGTTTTAATTCATAATAATTTCGTAAAAATAGTAACCATCGTAGAAAAATAATAAAAATTAATAAAATATTTATAAAATAAAAAACCAATATTTTTTTGAATAATAATCATCTAAGTGATTGCTTGAGATGATTATTATTATATTTGTTGTGATTAATTTTATTTTAATATTGGAAGTTCTCTCTCTAGGGTTTCACCGCTAGAGCTGTACGTCCGCTATCGGTTTGTGCCGAGGAGCGGGGCTGATTCTGTGTATTGTTTTATAATTAGTGCTTCGGGAGGGGTGGCTGCAGAGGAGGTTTGCGAAGTCGTTTCAACCAATCCGGCATTGTAGTGGCCGGGTTGGGGTGATTTGTCAGGTAAGCATTTTGGTCAAGGTAGTGGGCGGTGTTTCGGATTTAACCAGACGGGTATCAAGGGTTGCATGGAAAGATTGTGGATCAATACAAGAAGATGACGATAGGAGCGGAAGACGAGGAGCTGGATCTGGATGAAACCGAGATAGATGATGTTCCTGTTGAGGAGAATCGGCCAAGTTTTCCAGTTGTGGGAGTCTTGCTAACGGATAGGAAGATCAAGTTTCCAATTTTCAAAGAGCTTAAGGCATCTATGTGGAGGCTGGGGAATGGTGTTTCTATCATGGAAATTGGTGACAAAAGGTGCGTCTTTACTTTTTGTCATTCTGTTGATATGAAACGTGTTCTTTATGGAGGTCCGTGGCAGTTTGGGAGGAATTTTTTGATTCGGAAAGAAGTTAAACCTGATGATTTCTCACATAAGATTTGTTTAAATGAGGCCGAGTTTTGGGTTCAAGGTCCGTAATGTTCTGTATAGTTTGATGAATTTAGGAACAACTAGGCGGGTTATAATTTTGTTGGGAAGTTTGCCAGTTATGATAATAATCGATTTAGTGAAAAGTGGGAATCGTATTTGCGAGTTATGGTGTGTAGGAATGTGGAAAAGCCTATGAAAAAGGGTACAACTCATAAGAAAAGAGGATTTGGTCACCGAGTGGATTTTAAGTACGAAAAGTTGCCCAAATTCTGTTTTGTCTGGCGTATGAAGAAAATTAGGGCATTCTGAGGATTTGGTCACTATTACAGGGCATTCTGATAAATTCTGCCCTCTGGCGTATGAAGAAAATCTGGTACTGGAAAAAACATTTGGGGTACATCTTCGAGGAGGTAGTGGGATGAACACTAGTCCTAAAGGACAACAAGTCGGATGGTAGGTTAAGAGGGGGTTAGAATGAGTCTACATCAGAAATATCACATAACACAACTAAAGATGATCGAGAATATTGGAAACAATGAGGAGGTATCTGAAGAGTAAAAACGAAGGCGCATATGGGAAGCCCAAGAAACAGAGAAGCACGTGGGGGATAATATGGCTCTGGATGGGGCAAAAAACGGAAAGGAGGCAAGCTTCGAGGTGTAAGCTCGCCAAAACTGATCATTTTGAGGCCAATGCTAGGAACATGGAAGCTAGCTAGTGGTGCTTGGGAAGCTGGGACATGACTTTTATTTCTTCGCTTTTATTTATTTTGATAGTCTGGTTTGTTTTGTTTACTTTCGACTGTTTATTTTATTATGCTGTAAGACTGAATTTGGATGTGAGTGATGGAAGGACTACGGTAACCATCTTTGGCTTAGTTGTGCCCATTAATGGATCAACGAGTTATATTGATTTTGTCGAGGTGATAAACTCTGATCTGGTTCGAGGGTCGGCAGTTGTCAAGAGTCTTTTTGTCGTTTTACCTACTATCTGAATGATGTCTTATTAATTTAAGCCGATTTCTTCCATTTTTATTTTTTGAAAATTAATACGGAGTACAAAACAGTAAACATCCATAATAAAATTAAAAAAAAAAATTATGGATGTCTTTCTCACCGCCTGTACTGCCTCCCTACACCACCACCTCCGGCCGGTGTAAAAAAAAATCCATTTTTATAAAAAAATGTCATTTTTATGAAAATGCCAAAAAATGGCATATTATTGTTTGACAATGTCAAAATTTCATTGAATCTGCCATAAATATGGCATTTCTAATGCATGTGGCATTTCCCCCCTGGTGACCAAAGGTGATGGTGCTGGGACGGTAGATGCGGCGGTGATTTTTTTATGTGTTTTTTTTAATTTTTTTAATTTTTTTAAATTAGTATTTTTTAAATATATTTATTACTTTTAGTTTGGTCGATAGGCTCTTTCTCTCTCTAGGGTGGGATTCCACCGCTAGGGTTTTTTCTCCGCTATCGTTTGTAATAACGAGGAGCGGCTATCGTTTGCAACTTTTTTTTTCTTCTTTTGCTTGGCGAGATTAAGCGGAGGGAAGGAGATTTTTGGTCTCTGGCGGTCAAAGATTGTGCAAGGACGGAAGATAGATGCTTGGTCTCCGGCGGCCAAAGGTCATGGAACAGATCTAGATTCGAGGTCATCTGTGTTAGGTGACGACATAGGAGGCTTGGTAGAGAACATGATGAATAAGAGGCAAGGTGAGGAATAAGCTACAGTACTGCTGAATCGTCCCCCTCCTGAACCGCCGCCATGGAGTGCAGGAGAGTCTAGAGTTTGGAAACATCTTTTTAATTTTACTTTTTGCTTGCGATTTATTTTTCAAGATCGGACTATTTATTTTTCTACTGGTTACTTTTATTATTGTAAGACTCTTGCATTAGGATTGAGTGATAGGAGGTCTGCTTTAACCGTCTTTGGCTCATGTAAGCTCATTATAGAATCAACGAGTTATATTGCTACTCTGAAGGTGATTGACTCTAAGTCTGGTTCGAGGACTGACGCTTGTCTGTGGTCCTTATATCGTTTGAACCCCTTTTGGAATGCTAATGTTGTGATATCAATGTAAGCCCCCTCTTCCAAAATATATATATATATATATATATATATATATATATATATATATATATATATATATATATATTCATTACTTTTTATTTTGTAATTTTTACTAATTTTTATTTATTTTTTATTATTTTATTATGAATTAAAGCATTTCAATAGTTGCAAGGGTATATTTGTCCAACACACACATAATTAGTCCTATGAAACATAGTTTATTTTTTGGTCCTATTTGTGTAAATAATTGACCAGCTTTTAGTCCTATTTTAATAATTAACTCTTGGGAAAAGGGGCAAATAAGCCCTCGAACTAATAAAAAAAGTGCAAATAAGCCCTTTTGTAGGAGGTTCCGTCCGCTCATCGTCATTTGGGGAGGTTCACGGTGGAATTTTTTGATGAAATTTTTTGAGCATCTTATTCATTAAGTCTAGTTTAGTCCTACTGAATTTCAGCTAAAAATTCAACCGGGAAGACAGTCAAATGAATTTTTGAAGATAACTGCGCAGTTAAACAACGCAGTATATTTCCGAAAATCATTTGAGTGCCTTCCCGGTTGAATTTGTAGGTGAAATTCGGTATGGCTAAACTAGACTTAATGAAGAAGATGCTCAAAAAAATTCATCAAAAAATTTTACCGAGAACCTCCCCAAATGATGATGATCGGACAGAACCTCCTACAAAAGGGCTTATTTGCACTTTTTTGATTAGTTCGAGGGCTTATTTGCCCCTTTTCCCTTAACTCTTTTATTTATGTTTTGGAGAGTATATTGTATAAATAAGTAATGGCAAACTTTAAAAATCTGAGAATTTTAAAAATCATCTCTCGCTTCTCTCTAGGGCTTCGGCCGCTTGGAGTTTTTTTCCGTCTTCGATTTTAATCGAAGGAAGGCCGCTTTTTCCGTCTTCGATTTTAATCGAAGGACGACCGCTATTTCTGTCTTCGATTTTAATCGAAGGACGGATGTTGTTGTTTGTGCTTCATACTCGAAGGGCGGATTTGCTGTCATGGCTCGAGGAGATGGGCATTGTGGTCAAGGTTCGAGGATGATGTATTGCTGTCGTCGTTGGAGAAGATCGGCGCCTCCTATTCGTTTACTCTGGTTGCATGAAGCAGGGATGAGTTTGGTTATGCAGGGACGGAGGATTGATGCATGGCCTTTGGCAGACAAAGGTCACGGAGTATCAATTAGCATGATACCAGTGGTAAGACCTCCTCCTGAACCACTACCATGGGATGTACGAGGTGCTAGAGTTCGTGAACGCTTTTCTTGTGGTTTTTATCTGTTTGTTATTTGTTTTCTTGTGTCCACTTTTGTTGTTGGTTTTGACAGTTTGTTTGAGTTTTTTGCCTCTATTTATGTCATTGGGTATGGTTGGATCTATGCGAATAGGTTTGACTGTGTCAAGCCCACTACATGGTTAGCGATTCGTGTTGCTCTCTCAGGGGTGACCGTCTCAAAGTCTCACCATAGGGTTACAGTCGTAGTTGTTGAAGTTTCAGTTGGTGTCAGTTTTATTTTCTTTTTGCTTGATGTAATGATCCTGAATCTTTTGATATGAATAGAGGCCCGTTTGATGATAAAAAAAAATCAATGTAGATGTTTAATAGGTTAAAAAAGTAGAGATCTATTCGATGTATACTTTAAAATTCTAAAAATGTCTATCCCCCGTTCATTTTTATGGACAAACATGGATTGTCATGAACTTTTAACCCATTCTTAGTACATTAGTACATTAATTCTTACCAATTGTCTTTTAATTTCTCTTGACAAAAGATTTTCGTGTACTTTTTTTCGTCTTCTACTGGTCACAAGTGTGCATAGATCCGATTCCAGAACCAATCAGAATTATCTAATTATTTACCCGAGATCACCTACCAGCCCACCGATCCTGGACTCATACCAGATTAGGAGGTTGGTACTAAGATGATCTTGATATGCAAGGTTTGCAAATTAAAATCTCTTTTTTTTTAATTATTTTTTTATGATAAACAAATTAAAATTGAATAAAGAGATCATACATCGATACTGATACACAAGATAAACTTCAATTAAAATGGAAACATTGTTTTTTATACATCATCTTACGAAGAGAATTGTTGGGGTGATATCAATTCGATTATTCAAAAGAAAATTAGGAACAATTTGAAAAACTGTCAATCCAATATCAATTCAGCTATAGAAGTTTTTTTTAGAAACGATATGAGAACCGATAATATCATATCATTGTCATTATTGTACGTTATCAGTGAACTACTAAAATATAATTAAACCACTATCACATAAAAAATAATATCAAACTAATAAATATTTGACCGTAAACAAGTAAACAACTTTTTACAAGTTAAAAATGAAAAGAAAACAATTATTAAGAAGAGAAACTCTATCGTATCTATGGTCGCACCACATTTAGTAATGAATATAAAAACTGTGAAATGATAATTATTCTTACTCATTGACTTGTGCAATATAATGGAACATAACAAGACTGAGTTTGTGGGTCATTCTTCCATTTTTGAGTTTTGCTAGTTAATAAAAAATTAAAAATTAAGATGGATGCTTAGACCTGATTTATTCTTTTTAAAATAGGCATTACTATATAATTATGTTTGTTTCATTCATCTTTTAATTGTATCTTATCATGTTACATAATCATGTATATAGAATGATACAGAGTACTATAGTTCTTGTTAAAACTTGTGTTTTCAATAAAATTGATAAATATCATTCATATGCAATCTATATATTTATGCAAATTAATAGAATTCATTCATAAAAGTCTATGTACTTTTTAAAAGCCCACAAATTAAAAAAATCACCACAATCCATATAAAAATATCCCGTTCAAGTATAATATAAAAAATGCGCGTGAAGAATAAATTTCGTTTTATGTCTCAATTTTTTCGTGATGCTACTGAAATGTCACTCACGTTGTTACAAATGTAATCACAGTTAATTGAAATGTAACTTGAGACAAGTCCGATCCAAATGTAAATAACATTAATAGAATTATAATTAGAGGCAAACCGAAATGTAAATGAAGTTAATAGAAATGTAACTTGAGATAAGTTGAAATGTAAACCAGGTTAAGTAGAAATGTAACTTGAGGCAAGTCGAAATGTAAGCTGTCTAATACGTATTATAAGATATATATATATATATATATATATATATATATATATATATACACACACACACATAAGTTTTGGTTCAAATAAGAACACAATCTTATGAGAGAAATAAGAACGAATTCTAGCCATTAGATTGTATCATTTTCGCTAACAAATACGTATGAATTCCTTGCCCATATTGGTCATTACATATTTGCTTTAATAACCTTCCATCTATATTTGTACGTCATTCATTTCCAACATTTAAATGAATCAATGATTTGCTTTTCTTTTCAATCACATTCCAAATATAAAATGAGCTAGCATGTTTTTACTCCTACGTACAACATAGTTTTCATATTAGTGGAGTTCACATTTTGTTCTAATTGGATATGTTTTATTTGATTTTATTTTATTTTATTTAAAATTTCCTTTATTTCTTTTAAAATATTGCCTTTATTTTTTTTGGAGACGAAATGAAATTTTTGTTACAAAAGCATGACAATTATTTGATTATGACGGTGTCTTTTGGTATCAATTGTATATGTAAAATATTTAAATTAAAAAAATGAAAAGTGCATGAAAATAAATGATAAATGCATCAAAGTCATGTAATTATGTTGTGCATTTAAATATGAGTCGTTGTGCACTTCTTAGTAAATATGAAATGATCTCTTATACCAAGGTGTGCACTTCTTAGGTAATTTAGATGTACTAATGAGAAAATAATCTTAAGAGAGATATTAGAATAAATCTGGACCGTTGAATTGTATTATATCAAATTGAATGTGCTTTAGGTGACATTGAAATGTGCATCAAGTAGGTGAAACTTAAATGTGCAACACAATGGGTATGTGTGACACAGTGCATGACATTATGTGAAGCCGAATTGTGCATTAGATGAAATTCAAATGTGCATTAGGGGAAACTGAAATGTGCGCAATCAGAAGGTACGATGTAGTGACATTTTAGTACTTTTAATTCTGCACATTTCAATTTCATTTAATTCACATTTAAGTTTTATTTTTTATTCTGCACATTTCAGTTCCACATAATGTACATTTCAGTTTCACCAAATGCATATAAATTCTTAATGCACATTTCAATTTTACTTAATTCACATTTAAGTTTTACTTTTTATTCTGCACATTTAAGTTCCACGTAATGCACATTTCAGTTTCACCAAATGCATGTAAATTCTTAATTTGGAGAAATGGTGTTTTTATGTAAAAATAACGAACATTCAGTTTTATTTTGCTATATAGTGGAATTATTAATAATGCAAAATTAATATATCAATGTCATGTTATTCTAATGATTTTAAAATGCACTTTTAGTTTATAATTACTACACATACTAATGTTTCGTTTATGGTTGCTAATTTTAATACACAAATTGTAAATGGCAACTAATTTAATGATTTAGATTTGCAATGAAGTGGTGCAATGTTTTGTAACGGACAATATATCTTGAGCTTAGGATGTTTTTACTTGGACTGTAATTTGCCCCAGACCAGACCAGACCAGTCCAGACCAGACCAGACTTGGATAGTTATAAAAATACAAAGAAATCAGACCTTATCAGACCAGACCAGACCAGACCAGACCAGATCAGACCAGATCAGACCAGACCAGACCAAACCAGCAAATTACAGTTCAAGTAAAAACATCCTTAATAGTCACGTGGGAGAGCATATTGTTTTTACTTATTTGCCCTTTAGTAATTACTATTATACGTATATTCCTTTTATGTACTTCACTACTTTTCCATAATTACTAGGTTTCCATTATTATCATGCTTCATTTGTAGCCATCCGTTTGATTGAATCAAAGGTTAGATTTCGTTCTTATTTTTCTCCTGAGACACCGTTCTCACCGGAACCGCACCCTATTTCGTTCAATCCGTTTGATTGAATCAAGGTATATATATATATATACCTTGAAGAAATTCTGCAGGTTATCAAATGCAAATAGAAAATTTTATTTTATATTATTTTAATTGATGGATGAGTAAAAACCTATGTTTATTTTGAAGATGAAGAGAAACAAAATTGTGATTGCATTTTAAATATTTTGATGAAAGGAGAAGAAGATAATTCAAGTGGAAAAGAAAAAGAAAAGAAAACCAGGGAAAGAGATGAGTGTAGTGAGTGACAAAGAAAAGAATAGATGACTAGAGACGAAGGTTTGTTGAGTTTTGTAGACACGATACCGTATTGGGACCGGTATACTATGTGCATTGTATAACGATCCCACGATAGAAGTTGCGGTGAGAGACGAATGTATAAAACCATTTAGAAGAAGATTAATAATTTTGTCATACTTCTCTTTTGTCTCATTTTATTATGATTATCTGTAGTGATAGTGATAAGTTATTTACACTATTTTATAAAAATGACTTGCTAAGTGTTATTTTATCAATAACTAAAATACACTACACACTTTCTTTTTATCTCAAAAGTTTTGTCTTGAAACTTGGGTACTAGTTTAGGGTAGATAATAAACTTTTATGAAAGCGTATTTATTTGTGACTAGAAATGATATCTGGTCTCTGGCCATATTTTTACACTCTTATATCTTACTTCTAAATATCCTTGGTTCTAACAATCTAAAAATTTCTTATTCAAAAAATGACTGCTACCCAACGCGATATCAACACCAATTTTAAAAATATGAAAAACTTTGAAGATGCAAAAATGGTAGAATTCCCAATGTGACAGAAAGAGATGCCATTTTTGCTTACTACTTTGAAAGTGGTCAACGTGTTAAGCACCCTGAGGCCACCCGAGAAAAAAGAAAATGGGCCTTTGGAAACCAGCCGTCACTGCATAAAGTGGGACAACGACGACTATGTTTTCCATGAGCATATTATGGACGCTTCATAAATGGAGGAAAGGGTCAATTGAGTACACCAACTTGTATGAGGTGGAGTAAAGAGTACACTATTGCATTTGATTTTTTTAAGTACATAAATTCGGGGTTTTAGTGTTAATTGAGTACACTTGTTAGATTAACACATTGGTATAATGAGTTGGCTAACAGAATGTTAAGCAAGAAGGGGTAATGGACCAATGTTATGGAGTCGACCTTCACGAAGTTGACAAAAAAGGGAAAATCGACCTTCGAAGGTTGACCTGTGGGGGGCGTCGGTCAATAGGGGTGCATCGACCAAGGAGAAGTCGACCTGCGGTGAACTGACGTCGACGTAGGGGAAGTCGATCAAGTGGTTGGGGGCTGGCGTTGACCTATTAGCATTTTGTTACCCAACTTAGTCGTATTAAAGTGTTAATGTAACGAGTATACTCAACTAACACTAGAAAACCGAATTTGCGTACTTAAAAAGATCAAATACAATATAATGTACTCTTTACTCTATCTCATACAAGCTGATGTACTTAATTGATCCTTACGTCTTCATAAATGGCAAAGAAAGGAAGCACGTAAACTTTTCAAGACCTTATATGATTTGTTGAAGTAATGGTGCTGAAAATTGGTTCTGAAATTAACCAGCTAGACAAGTGTGTACAGTGTACGTAGTACATGAGTACATCGTAAATTTAATGAGTAGGGCAAGGGCTGCGAAATACTAGTAATTAATTTGTTTCATTCTATACATATCAGGGTTTCAAAATGATGCAGTTCAACTAAAAAGAAAAAGTTGTGCTATAGTGGTAATGTTTTTATTTGGACTTTACAAAGAAAAAACATCCTAGGCAATAGAGGGTTCATGAAGACTCTACATCAATATCGCCCTTTACCGTCCTCTCTTCCCGGCAGGGGCCATATGCACGACTGCAGAAGAAGAAAAGCAGAAGATTGACCACACTCAATCCAGCAAGCACCCAATTGTAGTAGTCATAGTGACCCTTATTTATGTTGCTCGATATCCAGCTCCCACCTTCCCAACCTGTAGTGACCTCATTAACGATGCTCATCAGAAAGCTCGCAAGCATACTCGCCACTGCCATCCCTAGCTCGAGAAAGTTTGAAGCGATGCTCCACATGCTTTGCGGGAACTCTGAAATGTAAAACTCATTCTGAGCAACAGCGTTCATTCCCTCTGCAACCCCCCCGATAAGCGAGTGTGGTATGATCCAGAGAACTGACATATCTACAATGCCCCCGGGGGTTTCGGAGAATCCCTCCTTTATAGCGAGGTTCCGCCGGAAAGCCTCAACCAAGGCTGTTGCCACAACAGAAATGAAAGAGAGCAAGATCCCCGACCCCATTCTCGCCATCGGGGTGAAACGGAGACGTCGTCTAATGATTCGATCATCTAACACGAGCCACATTATGATCGAGGCGTATGAGAAGAGACTGATAGAGCCTGTGGGGATTTGAAAGCTAGTAGATGATGACCCAATGTGGCGGTTCATGGTGGTCGCTTGAAGTGTGGAGAAAGCGCCTTGGTTGAAGTTTATGCTCATTACAACTCCAGTGGCCCATATTGGGATTACCTTAAGGCATGCTTTAAGCTCCTCTACTTGCTCTACTGTACAAAGACTCCATGGATCAGATGCTTTCCCATTTGGGTTTATGTCTTGTTGGGGATCTTCTATAATGCAAGCCTTATTCAGAAACCTGTAACAATTAATTAGGCCATCAACAGGGTTTTAGATGTGGAGGGACTAAAATCAGAGCTAACCAATTCAGTAAAGTTTCAGGCAAAGTGAACACATGAGATAAAATTTAATATGAGCACAATCTTATTCAATTGTTTGACTACAACTCTTCAACATTTACTCAGAACTAAAAATGCTAGGGCATGCCGTATTTGGTTGCCTTATATGAAAATGACACTTTGATACTCTGTGTTACTTTCTTTATACGGAGTATAAAACTGAAAACATAACACATTGTTTCCCACCAAATTAGACTTATTCGCCTTCTATTTAGAGTCTTTTTTATTAGAACCAAATAAATCTTATTTTAGGAAGAAAGTATAATACTCCATCCGTCCCTAAATAAACATAAAACATCCCACTTTTGTTGTAGGTCCGTCTTTTAAAAAACCCCATTGTTTTATGGTAAACAAAACAATGCAAAACACTGTAAAACAATGTCATCAAACAATGTGAAAACAATACATAGTATAAAATAGTGTCACTTTCCTAAATTGTGTGTAATTCAAAATGGCACTTTTGAATAGAGACGGAAGAGTATACAATAATAATATTTTAGAACTTCATTTGTATTTTTCTCTATTTTTAGCAACATCTCTAAATTTTAAATATATCTAAGATATTTCGAGCCAATGCCAATCCATTTATTCGACAATTATCACAATATCAACAAACTAAGCTCATTCAGTCATTCAAGTCAGATCCACACCGCTCAAACAGGTTCTAACAAGCTACTCAAATGAAAGAAGATGAAATAATTGCTCCACAACGGGTAACAAGTGACTTTAATTACCTTAGTGTTTCACTTGGAGGACATATCATGTTACCTTGTTGATGGTATGTCACAAGACCTCCATTATTGGATGAGATCATGAGGCTCCTCTTTCTGTAAAAAGCAACAACCACTTGAACTAATCCTGTGATTAAACTTCCTTTGGGCTTTGACCTCACATAGAATGGAGAACCCAAGAGGATGAAAATAGTAGCAAATAGCATAAGCAAGGCAAGGATTCCAAAACCAACTTCCCATCCCATTTTCTCTTGGACATAGACCAAACAAGTCAAGGAAATGATAAGGGATACCGTTTTAACAACATAATAACAGCCAAAGAAGCTTTCCATTGCTCTCCCATCATTTCGGATATTCTTTAACTGATCAACTCCAAATGCCAAGGAAGAAGCTTTTACTCCTCCTTCACCAATGGATATAAGGATAAAGGAGAGGTATAAAAGAAGCTGCAGAGTTGTTGCAGAAGGGCAAATGATGTTAAATTCAGTGCAAGGAGGCGGCCTTGCTTGTGGTATAATAGTTGTTAGCCAAAACAGAAGTATACCCTGCCAAAAAGAATATGAATTTCAATTGAAAAAAATCCCACTACCCTTTTCACTGTGAAGAAATAAAAAACACAATCACTACCTTTCTCTTACATAGATGTTTTTAAAGTTATTTTTAAATTGATTAAGAAATAGCATTGGAGGGTAGTTTTAGCAAATGTTTTATCTGTCAATACTACGAAAAACAAACCAAGAAATCTTAGGTGTCTACTCAGGAATTGCACATATATAGGGAGGGGTATTGAACTCGATTGGCACTTGGCACAAAGATTTTATTTTCACATTGGTACAAGATAGAGCGACATGAATACCAATAAAAATGAGTTAATGTGATTGATATTGAATTGATAAAATAAAAATAAAATAATAATGATTTAGAACAACACAAATTTTACTAAATTTGACATGAGACAATCTTAGTGAGATGTATGATTTAATAACTGAAAAAATTGGGATGAGCCGTGGCCTAGCTGGGCTAGCCCCCACCTCCAGCATTGCACATACGAAGCCTCATCCACTATGGGAGGTCATTGGGGATTGAAAAAAATGATCCCACTTGATCCCCACTATGGGAGCCAAGGAAGTGATCGATCAAAGTGGAAGGTCTAGAATAGGATCTGACAAAATTTTTGTGACTAACCAATTAAAAAAGGCTATGTGGATTTTTATTTAGAATAAGAAGTTCGGATGGCTTCTCTTCCTCATCAAGATACCCATCAACTTCATCAAATATCCCCCAACTCCCTAATTTCATTTATTACTCATTAAATTTAATTTATTGTAAAAAAATACCAAAAATTAGATTTTTCCTCTATAAATAGACACCAATAAAGGATATGTTTAGTCACATCGAAATTTATCACTTCTTTCCCTCTTGCATCTTATTTATCTGTTTTAGAATATATTTTTCTCTAAAAAATGACCCAACACGTTCTCTATCTAGATACAATACCAACAATAAATAGTTATAGTGGGTCAAATGTGGATTTTATATCCCCTTTTCAAATTATATAAATTAATAATTGTTGAATATAGCAAGAAAATGGAAAAAGAATGTACAAATTTTAAGTGATCTAGGTCACCATAATGGGGAGAAAGCGTGATACGTTAGATGAGATTAACTTTTTGATGGGAAAGACGTGGAAGAGAGAAGAGTGGTCAAAAGTCATCAACATTGTGAATCCGCTAATTCCTCTCCCTATGGTTTTTATTTTTTGACTTCTCTTACCTCTGATTACGTGCAAAATGATGATGTGGATAAAATTCTGATGGAGATATGGAGGATTTTTTTCCAAAAATTATAACGATTTGATTTATTCAGGATTAAGGTACCACAATGGATGAATAAAAGTAATAGAGGTATTATTTATGAATAACTCCGCCAGAATTTGAAAAGCTCAGAAAATACTTTGTGAAAGCTTAACAAATATTGCGTTTAATTAGGGAAAATCATACCTTCAATCCTCAAATATCCGCACATTGAAATGTAGGATGTTTTTACTTGGATTGTAATTTGCTAGTCTGGTCTGATCTGGTCTGAATTGGTCTGGTCTGGTAAGGTATGGTTTCTTTGTATTTTTATAACTATACAAGTCTGATTTGGTCTGGTCTGATCTGGACTGGTCTGGTCTGGTCTAGGACAAATTACAGTCCAAGTAAAAACATGCGTAGTTCCCATGCTTTCAAATTTGTAAGTGTCACCCCTCACTTATATTTATTACTCCGTATTATAAATGTGGTCCTCGTTGTTAAATCTAAACTAACATCGTTAATTTTAATAACTTTTGACACGGTCAGAGTTCTAACTTTGCACACAGTCAAAAAGTTATACTCTTTGTCCCAAATTGATTTGCAAAGTCAACATTTTTTTGTCAACCAATGTTAAAGTTAAATCATACTTCTTGATAATTTATTCATGTTCAATAATTAAAATTTACATATTTAGAAACTATATTAAAATCTCTTCAAAGTTGCAAACTCCAAATTATAGTATAATAAAAAATTGACATCTAAATTAAGTGAATAAAATAATAGTGTTTGACAAAAAAAATCAAATTTGCAAATCAACTTGGGACTGAGATAATACAATTTTAAAAACTCTCCCCCTTGATAATTTTGTCTCTAATGTTACACTACAGATAAAAAGTGTCAATTGAAAATCCAACTTTATAGGCAATAAATGTTCGACAGAGATAATAAAACCCAATGCGGGCAAAAAATGTTAGAGTATCATTTTTGTACATATTGTCAAAATGCTTTGCACCTGCAATTGTTTCGGTAAAGTAGGCCATGGACAATAGTGTGGGTCAAAAAAATCTAATGTTTACCTATGTTGTAAAAACCGGACCGGAGAGCGACCCGGAGCGATGGTCGGGTCAAGGGTCAACCCGGACCCGCGGGTCAGCCCGGTCAACGGCCGGAAAACCCGGTCAACTCATATATATATATATATATATATATATATATATATATATATATATATATATATATATATATATATATATAATATTTAATATTTTTACATATATACACACATATATATATATATGTATGTATGTATGTATACCTATAAATATTAAATTCATAGGTAGAAAATGTTATTCTTTCATAAATTAATAATGATGATACAATATAATCCAATTAAGAAATCACTATTTTAGAGTTAGTTTTAACAAAAATTAAAATAGATTTGAATGTAGATGGATTAAATATATAGATATGAAATCAATTACAAAATTTTAAAGGAAAAATTGATAGTAATAATCTCAACTATTGGCGGTCCGCTCATAATCTCAACTATTGGCGGTCCGCTCATAATAATCCCCACTATTGATTATTACATAATAATCCCAATTTTAGGGACCTTCCGCCAATAATGGTCCCTATGAATAAATTCTTGTTGTTTCTAAAGTGGATGAGATGAGATATAACAAGTAATCCCTATAAATAATCTCAACTTTTAATTTTTACGCTTAATTTATATTTAAAATTCACTTTTTATAGAGGTAATATATGGTCATGGACCATTATTGGCGGATAGTCTATATAGTTGGGATTATACAAAAATAATAAATAGTTGGGATTATTTTCAGCGGATCGGCAATAGTTGAGATTATTATTTTCAATTTTTCCAATTTTAAAAATATACTACCTCCGTCCCAGGGAGAAGTTCCCAATTTCCTTTTTTGGCAGTCCCAACAAGAAGTTCCCATTTCCCTAAATGGAAAGTTATTCTACATCAAAACAGTGCCAAACAGTGCTAAACAGTGCAAAACAGTGTCGAAACAGTGCCAAACAGTGTCGAAACAGTGCCAAACAGTAAAATTTACCCCCCAGTAACTTTATTTCCTTAATATGTGTGAAAGTCAACCCGGGAACTTCTCCCTGGGACGGAGGGAGTAATAGAAATATATTTTCACATATAATTGATATATGAAATATAATACGGAGTATACATAATGGAAAGTATATACTAGTATAATAAAAGCATGAGTGTATATATGCATTATTATTATATGAATTCTTTAATAAAGTATTACGTAATATTTAATGCTTAATGCATCTGTTGTAGTTCAAAATGGTACGTACTAATGTAATATAATACCAATTAATTGCATACATAATTGGAAAGTCTACTAAAAGTATTGATGTGTATTTTATGGTAATAAAGTAAGTGATTAATTAAGACTTGATAAGTATATGTCAAGATGATATATAGTATAATAAAAGCTAAACACCGGTAGTTCCCAACTACCTAGTATAGCCCCTTGGTTGGCAGGTTAAAATTTAAACTATTTGGTGTGGGTTCGAATCTTGGAGGTGATGTGTATTCCGGGTTTTCGAATACACAACTATTGGTGGTCCGTCGATAATTGTCCATGACCAGATATTACCTCCTATAAGTGGAATTTTAGTCCACCATCGACCCAACTTATAAGTTTAAATCCTCCCGGAGCGATTTAAATATTTATAATGAGACTATCTGAGTTTCATTCGTAAATTCAATTTTATAAGAGAGGTAGTTCAAGCTTTTTATGTTACCTAGCTCAGAGTGAGCGAGATAGCAATAACAGGCATTATTAGGGTATGAATGGTATGATATAACTAATGAACTGATTGGGATTTGGGATTATTATTGGAGAAGAATTGAAGAAAAATCCAATTTGTCACAAATGCAAGCTAAGTTCATTATTTCAGAAAATTGTCTTCCGACCGACAACATGAACAATCAACTAAAAATCTATAATAAAACTCAGAAGAATAAAAGACGTCACAGCATGAGATCATATTACAGTCCAAACTTAACAATTCCCCTCAGTATAGTTTTTAGTTTATATTCCTTCCTCTTTGTACTGTTGTGTTTTTCTTTCTTTGTGTATCGATCATTTTCGCACTGCACCAGTTATTATTTTTTATCGTCACTGTACCAGTTATTTCTAATCAATGAAATTTCACTTTTCTCAAAAAGAAAAAAAAAGAGTGTCACAAAAAAATGATTGCAATAATATGAATTATATTATTATTACCAGCAATGAAGGGCATGGTTCTCAAGCCACCTTTTGGGGCGGGAGAAGCTTCCAGGAGAGGCTGCAGTTTCTCTTCTTCTTCCGCCATTTTATCCTTCTTTTCCTCTGATGGGAAAACTCCCATACCACAGAAGTTTAAGAACTTATTCAGTTTCTTTCTGGAATTATATACACTAACTTCAAGAAGCTAATTATAAGGAGAAGAAGCAGGCATAGACAGTGAGGGATTTATATATAGAGCCCGTTTGGTAGCACCAAAATCGGCTGTTTTGGCTGATTCTGCTGAAATTTATGATATTCTGGCTGGAGTGACTGTTTTGGCTGATTCTGCTGATTTAACAAAAAAATATTTTAAAAATATATTTTATTAATAAATTAAAGAAAAAATTATATGTAAAAATAGCTAAAATGGTCCTCTACAGTAACTTCAGCCAATACAGTCAGAAAAGTAACTCCAACCTTACTTTTTCGGCTTATTACACAATTAAGCGCGCGAAAGTAAAAGTTACGTGTTTGGTGAAAAAACTGGCTGATAAGCCTGATAAGCCGAAAACAGAGTTCTCCAAACAGGCTCATAATTTAACTACTACGTACTTCGTAATGATTAATTGGACTTTTAGCCGATTAATTTTCGTGTCGTATTTAC